TAGACATGCATATGCATGCACACACATGTGCACACGCCACACACACATGTACACACACCAGGCAACACCAGACCCTACGGCTTGACCTGTGAGTTTGGGGAATGTGTGGCCCTGCAAGAGGGAGGGCTGGAGAAACAGCAGGAAGTAGAGCTAGGCGTGGTGGTGCCCATCTGTCGTCCCAGTACTCTGGGAGGCTGAGGCAGGAGGATCACAAGTTTGAGCCCGGGTAACTCAGTAGTTTAGAGAGACTGGCTCAAAATGCAAATAAAGTAAGCCAGGGTGTGGGTGGGGGGCAGCGAGTGGTGAGACGCGTGCATCGGAATCTCCTTGGGTTGGGGGTGAGGGCAGGGCTTGGCCTTTGCTTGGCGTGGAGGTGGGTGAATGCAGCTGTCGAATTCAGCCTCTGAGGATTTGGAGTTCCTGTCTGCCCTGGCCAGGCCCGCCCTGTGGCGGGGGCAGTTTTGTCAGTGATGCGAGCTGATGTTGGGAGCTGCAGCTCCCTGAGTCTGAGGGGTAGGCACCTTGGTAACCAGGAGGCCCTGCCCGGCTCAGCCGCGTCCTGGTAGGAAAAGCATCGTTCTGTCTCATCTTCTTGTAGGCTGAGGAGGAATTTCCGTTCCACTATGTGGGAACAGCAGGGCAGTGATGAGCTTGCTGGCCATCAGGAGCACTGGACTCCTGTGCGTCAGGCCCTGGGCACTGCTCTGTGGCCCTGCCACTGGGCCAGGGTCCTCGTAGCTGAGCCCCTCTCATCTGTCCACCCGAGGTGACAGAGTCATGCAGGTAGACAGTATTGTGCCCTGTGTCTACCCATCTGTCTTAGTTACTTTTCTCATTGCTGAGACAAAATACCTGATACAAATAAAAGAGAAAAGGTTTACTGCACTCACAGTTTGTAGAGGTTTCATTTCATAGTCAGCTGGCTCTAAGGCAGGTGGCATGGCAGAGAGGCATTGCAGAGGAGAAGCAGTCCATGGCAGGGCAGGCAGGCAGCAGTGGCAGCAAGCAGTAGCCGTGAGGGAAGCAGTCCTTTCTGCCCCTTGTATTCCATCCATGTTACCCATTTTAGTGTGGGTAGTATTCACGCCCAGGGTGGGGTGCCCTCAATCCCAGTATCACATACTTAATCCCAGCATCACACACCTTAGATCCAGCTACCTCTAAAAAATCCCACCTATGACCACGTGAGGTTTTGGGGGGACACCTAAATACAAACCCATAACAGCATCCATCTATCCATCCATCCATCCATCCATCCATCCATCCATCCATCCATCCATCCCAGTTATCCTTCTGTTCACCCATTCATCCATCCACCTATCCACCCACCCGTCCATTCACCCACTGTTCATGCATCCAACCATGACCTAGAACTTGGTAGTGTCCACATCTCACACCACATAGTTGTAGCCTGTCCTCCTCATGAGACCCTACCTTCCCAGAACAGAAATTCACTGGACTTCCCTGATGGCCCTGCCCCGGGGCCCCACTGCCCTTTTCTGGCAGATACCTGGGGCTGCCCCAGGTCCTGCATCCTGGGCCCTGCTGTGTTCTGACAGAAAGCATGTTCTATTCCTGAAGAACAGGGCCCCTGACACAGCCAGAGAATACAGTCCCCGGAAGCTCGAGTCAGAGGAGCTGGGGACCCTGCCAGAGGTTTTGTTCCGCATACATGGCCCTCAAAATGGGCTTGAAAAGCTCAAATAATGAGCAGGAAGCCCAGCACGCTCCCCGTGCAGGCCTGATTTTGCCCAGACAGGTGCAGAGTGGAGAACTCGTTTCTTCCCTCCCTCCCGTCCTTTTTCAGTACTGGGGTTGAAACCAAGCGCGTGCTGCCACTGAGCTACATCTCCCGCCCTTCGGACTCTTGCTTAGAGCCTGGCCTCGCTTTGTTGCCCAGGCTGGGCGCCAGCTTGCCTCAGCCTCCCGCCGTCCGGCCAGAGCTCCTGCCCTGCCCTCATCCGTGTCTCTTTTGCCTCCAGCAGAGGAGCCCCTCCCTTGGCATCTCCATGCCACTGCCCAGGCGCGCCCTCTGCCAGCCCTCCCGCTGCTGCTGTCTGGGAGAGAGGAGGGCACAGGACACTGCTCCCCACTGTAGTCACAGAGGTGTGCCCACCCTTCCGCCTCTTCTTGGGGGCTGAGGGCCATTTCCCTCTGTGTCCCTTCCAAGCTCCTTGCCCCGGCCTTTGCACGGAGGTCCGCTCTTTGCCCTTCTCTCAGAAGCTGCAGTCTCTGCCCTGCCACTCTCATGTCTGCTCTTTGGTCCCCACTCCTGGTCCTGCCTGGGGCCCCTAGTGGGGCTCAGCCGTCCCAGCCCCTCTGTCCCCCAAGGCTTTTCTTGAGCACTCGCCCCACTGGGCTCAAAGCCTCTAATGTAGCTTATTGAGCACCTTCTGTATACAGTTTGCCCCTCCCTCTGTTGAGGCTCATTTCAGAGTAGAGGTAGGGCTCAGAGAGGGGAGCAGACTAACCCAGACCACACAGCCAGAGCTGGTGCGTAGCAGGCCTTCGTCCCCATGGACCAGGGTTCCCTCACCCAGTCTAGTCCCTGCTCCACCTTTGAGCTGGCAGCAGCACCTGGGTGGCTCAGCCTGTATGTCCCGCTCTGGCCAAACACCCCCACCAAGGTCTGCAAGGAGAGAGGCCCTCAAAACAGACTGTGGGGTGTAGTCGCAGCTCTGGCCATGAACGTCGGCACCCTTGGACCTCACCGGGTTAGGCGCACAGCACAAAGCCCCCGCAGAACCTCCAGGCTGCAGGTTGGAGTGTAACCATCTTCCTGGAGAAGCAGAGCTGTCGTTGGGCGCACAGCCCAGAAGGGGTCTTGGAAGCCTGTGCCTCTGCCCGGGAGGGGCGGAATCTTGGCATAAATTGCATAGAAAATGCCACCCTCCAGATGGCAACCGGGGGAAGGTGTCACAGTGACTCGGGTCCTGTCCTTGACTGTCGCCGTAACACGACCTGTGCATCGTGGTACTGCTGGGTGGGGGGGTGGACTCCGGGCCCAGAGGACGTGGCACTGGGCCTAACCCTGGTCAGCTTTCTCTGCGGCACCATTTTCAACTCCCGCTACATCTTCCCCCATACCCGTGAGCCTGGTGGGTGGGGAAGAGGCAGGAACTTTGCAGGGTGTCTTGAGCTGGTCCTGCCAGCCCTGCTTGGGGTGCTGGACGGATGACCCTGGAGAGCCATGGTTTCCTCAGCTGAGAATGGGGAGTAAGAGCTGTAGTGCACAGGGTTCTGTGGGGCACAGGGGGAGACCTGGCAGTTTCTCCCCCAGAGCCAGGCTGATAGAGAACACTTTCTAACTCAGTCACAGACACCATCGTAAAAGCACAAGTGTCGTCGGCTTATGCCGTCTGATTGGGGGCCAAAAGAGCCTCTGCCTTGGGGTCCCTTGGGATGTTGCCAGGGTGGCATGTTTGTCACCTTGGGCTCTGCAGATGATGTTCGTGCCACCCGCTTCTTATTGCTGCCGGCAGCCCTCTCAGCTCCCCATTGTCTGTTCACCTTGATGAGGAGATGGAGAAGAGGTGGCAGGGAGACCACCAGCTCAGGGGCCATGCCTCGCCTGAGCCAGGGTGCAGGCTCACCCAGGTTGTAGCATGTGCCAGGCTTGGCCCCTCTTAGGGCTGGGTGACATGTGCCGTGTTCTGTAGCCGTTGATCAGTGGCGGGGTACTTGGGTTGCTCCCACTCTGGGCCTTTGTGAATAGTCAGCTATAAATGTATTTGTACATATATTTGTTTGAGTCCCTACTTTCATTTTTAGGGATGAACTAATTTAAATAATTGTCGATATACTTGTTTTCATTCCCAGGATTAATATTGCTGGGTCATTGGTAATTCTCTTTAACAAATTAAAAAACCAAGCACTGCCTCTTTAAAAATGATGCCCCGATTGAGGGGCCATGGGGAAGGAGGCAGGGTACTGTACCTCTGAGTCCTGACCCTTTAAGGTGGATGTATTTGTAGGCTATGTTTTCTAATCACAGCAGCTCTGAGCACTGGGCTAGCACCTGGCTGGTGTTGGATGACGGATGAGTGGATGGGCGAATGGGTGGACAGATGGATGGATGGGCTGACGGATGGATGGATGGATGGCTAAGTGGATGGATGGATGGCTAAGTGGATGGATGGGTGGATGGATGGATGAGTGCATGGCTAAGTGGATGGATGGATGGATGGATGGATGGATAGATGGATGATTAGGTGGGTGGGTAATGGATCAATGGATGAATGGATAGGTGGGTAGGTGGATGGGTAGTGGATGGATAAGTGAATAGATGGACAGATAGGTGGGTGGACAGTGGGTAGATGGAAGAATGGGTGGATGTATGGATATACGGGTGGATGGTGGATGGATGGATTAGTAGATGAATAGATAGCTAGGAATTGGATGGATGGATGGTTGGGTGGGTGGGTGGATGGATAGATGAGTGGATGGCTAAGTGGATGGATGGATGGATGGATGGATGAATGAGTGGATGAATAGATGGGTGAGTAGGTGCATGGATGGGTGGGTGGATGGATGGGTTGATGGGTTGATGGGTGGATGGATAGTTGGATGGATAGATGGATGGATGGATGGATGGATGGATGGATAGATGAATGGATGGATGATTAGGTGGGTGGGTAATGGATCAGTGGATGAATGGTAGGTGGATGGGTAGTGGATGGATAAGTGAATAGATGGACAGATAGGTGGGTGGACAGTGGATAGATGGAAGGATGTATGGATGTATGGGTGGATAGTGGATGGATGGATTAGTAGATGAATTGATAGGTAGGAATTGGATGGATGGGTGGGTGCGTGGGTGGGTGGGTGGAGGGATGGATGGGTGGATGGACAGGTGGATGAATAGATGGGAAAAACCTTGGTCATGAAGATGTGCTCCTCTTGAGGCTCAGCTTGAACTGCTGTCTGCCCCAAGGGTGGGCCTCTCAGGTCCCACGTGAGCACCTGGTGCTGTTTGCTCATGAACTTCTGTCCTCTTCCAGGGTGACATCCAGCAGTTGCTCTTCGTCTCAGACCACCGGGCGGCTTACGATTACTGTGAGCACTACAGTCCCGACTGTGACACCGCCGTCCCCGACACCCCCCAGTCTCAGGACCCCAACCCAGATGAATATGTGAGTCAGCTCTGGCTGGGTTCAGGGTGGGGAGCATATCCAGACCCCCTGGGACGGGGGTCGGGAGGGAAGGATGCTTGTGGAGGAACAGCCGGGGGACCCATTTTACGTGAACCCATGGGGCAAAGAGGTGAATGGATTCTGTAGAGAAACTGCGATGTAGACCTTGGTTTACCAAACAGTGCTCCCTAAGGTGCGGGAGGCACCCAGGGAATGCTGGCCTCTACCAGGGCATGCTGTCCTTTAACTTCCCTGGCAAGTCCTTAGATGAGCCCTGTGGGATATCCCGCCTACCCTTGGGCCAGGGCTTCCGTGGGGCTTGGTGAGCAGAGCCACCACGGTGCCGGGGGACTGTGCTGCTGGCTGGATGCCTGAGCTTACACGTAGAGTGCACGGAGGACCGGCGGCTGTAGATGACCTCTCCTCTGATTCCCAGAGGGGTGGTGACTGAAGGACAAGCTCATTCTGAGTGTCCTCCCGCCGTGGCCCAGGTCACCCTTCCTCTCCTTCCGTCCTGGCCCCTTCCTCCTGCCACACTGTCTGTGGGCCCCAGAGGGACCTCGTGTACTCGATGACCCTTCTCTGTGAGGCCCTGGAAGCGAGCCCCCACCCCGTCCAACTGGACTCTCGGCTCTTTAAGTCAAACTGCAGCCCTCCGTGTTCCCTTCCTTTTCCAGTCGCCAGTCCAAAAGCAGGTGCACTGGCTCTCACGAAGCTGCGTGTCCCATGGCCCTGGCTGTGCCCCATGAGCCCCACAGGTCCCAGGAGTAGGGCTGGAGGGAGCGCCCTGCTGGCCTGGTCAGGCCCAGTTCTTGAGGGAGCACACATCTGTGCTGAGGAGCCTGTGGGGTTTGGGTGGAAGGTCAGGGGCTTGTGGGTCACACAAGGGGCTGTGGCCACGGCTGGGTTGTCCTGCTGTGGGCTCTAATGGGTCAGAAGTGACCACCTTTTAGCATCTGACATCTCTGGCTTCTGCCCCAGGGCCTGGCTTCCTCCCCTGGGCAGGTCCCTGCCCAGGCCAGCTTCTGGAGGTGCTACGGAGGGAAGAACAAGACCCGAGACCACTGGGCAGCCTAGGCTGGGCCAGGCAGGCCTTGGCACCCACTGTCCAAAGCCAAATCTGAGGGGTGCGGGCTTGGCAGGCTGGGACCCCCACGTGCCTCACCCTGCCTCACGGGCCGTACTTGCTTCCAGTACCCAGATGGAGAGGGCGATGGCGAGACCTATTACTATGAGTACCCCTACTACGAGGACACTGACGACCCGGGCAAGGAGCCCGCCCCGACCAGCAAGCCGGTGGAAGCCGCGAGAGAAACCACAGAGATTCCCGAGGTCTGGGGGCGCCCGGGCTGGGGCGGGGGCGCAGGTGCCTGAGGCCAGGCGCAGGGCAGGGCAAGACCAAGGAGGCCGTGCCCAGCAGAGGCTGAGGCGGTGGTGGGCTGGGGGCAGGACCGACTGTGCTTTAGGCTCGTGGGTGTGGCCGGGCCCTGGCTCCCCGCTGCATCCACCTGCTGCATGGCCTTAGACAGATGCCAAGGTGAGCTCGAGTCCCCTTATCTGGGTCACAGTGCCGTGGGAGGCTCACTGCAGGGTCCCCTCTCCGCATGGCCGCCTCCTCTCCTGGACAGGAAGGAAGTGTGGAGGGTGCGTTGAGACCACGTGAGGTCTGCGTTAAGCAAGGCATAGGAGTGAGCGCGTGGCTGGTGTGTGTGTGTGTGTGTGTGTGTGTGTGTGTGTGTGTATGTGTATGCACTTGTGTGCATGTGTGCGTGCGTGTGTGTACAGCCTCACGCAGCCGTCCACATGTGAACACATGGATGAGTGTGTGCAGAATGTCCAGGGAGGCACAGCCTGGTCCCCTCTTGTTGCTCTAAAGGTCTGGTTGTTCTGCTGCTTTGTAACTTCCAGGGGTGACCTTCTGGGCCTTAGTCTGTGCGTGGAGACTGTGCCCCAGGCTTCCTTCCTCCCCGAGGACCAGAGACCCCTGCACCGAGTCCACAGGGCTCGGCTGGACGCTGCTGGGCTGTGCTGCCCACCCTGTGTGCAGAGACCCCATGCTGGAGCGCTGGGGTGTCCTGGGCCTGTGCTCCCTGACTCTGCTTCTCTCCCCTTGGCTTCCAGGACCCGACCCTGCCCCCCACAGCAGCTCCTACAGTGCCTGATGCTGTGCCTGATTCTGTGCCCGATTCTGTGCCCGAGACCAGCGAACAGACTGCTGGGGAGGAGGACCCCAACATCGGGGACTACGAGTATGTGCCCATAGACGAGTACTACACCTCCCCGTATGAGGACCTCAACTACGGCGAGGGCATGGAGAACCCCGAGCAGCCCACTGACCCCAACGCCGGGGCCGAAGTCCCGACAAGCGCCACGGTCGCCTCCAACACCTCCAACGTAATTTCCTTCCTTTCCATTGGCTTGGTCTACGGGACAAGGCCAAGGCGGGGGTCAGGAGCCTGAGATCCGCTCTCACCTTGGGTGTCCTTGAGTGGCCGCCACACCCCAGCTCTTGGGCTTCTGTGGGGGGCAGAGGCCACCTGTGTTTGGTGCCCTCTGCGGGTGCCGTGTGCCCCCGTGGGTGCCATGGCTGTGCATGCTTTGGGTGCCCTCACTTGCTGAGTGGATCTCAAGGTGGCCAGTTTGTCACCTGCAAGTGGGCAGGGTGACTTGGTCCTCTCAGGGTCAGTGGGGACTGATGAGGAGGCGGCTGCTTACGGAGCCCCCAGCTGGGCTGGGGAGCGGGCCCGGACAAGGGCAGACAAGCGGGAAGCCGGGCAACACTGGTTAAAACCCTGTTGAAAACAGACTGGCTTGAAATTCCCACCTGTGACTTTGAAAGCTACACCCCCCTTTGGAGCTCAGGCCTCCTGTTGGCCACGTGGCACCTGCGATGCCGCCTCTCAGAGGTGCTGTGGTTTTCAGTTAAGGGGAGAGTGTCACCCAGCACATGGCTCAGAGCAAACCCTCCTCACAGCTCTGTTGGTGCCCATCCTCCACCACCAGGAGGGATGTGTAGTCCAGTCGTTCAGAACCCTGGTCCTGAAACTGTGGCCCCAGGCCGAGCCCTGCCTGATCCATGGGCACAGCGGTGAGGGGCCGCGTCCTGGCCCTGCTAGCTTGGTACCGCACTGTGGGGAGTTCCCCGGGGAGACTGGAAGAAGGTAGACGGGCTTCCGGTGGCTGTAGGGCACTGCCTGCAGGCTAGGATGCGGCTCCGGGTGTCCTGTGGGTGGGAGGCCGCTGACCTTGAGGTCTGGGAAGGGGTGTTTGATGCCCCCAGTGGCAGATGCTGTGTTTGTGCCACTGCCCTTCACCTGGGTGACCCTGTCACTCCGTCCTATGCCCCTACAGCCGGCTCCGTCCCCAGGGGAAGAGAATGATGACCTGGACAGTGAGTTCACAGAGGAGACCATCAAGAACCTAGACGACAACTACTACGACCCTTACTTCAACCCCGACTCCGACTCAGACGGCTCCCCGTCGGAGATCGGGCCTGGCATGCCTGCGAACCAGGACACCATCTACGAGGGGGTGAGGCGCGGGCTCCCATCTGGGCAGGGTGGGCAGGGCAGGGGCCAGCACGAGCCCAGGAAGTGGGACAAGCTGGCTCCGAGACTATAGTCTACGCACTCTCAGATGCTGAGGACGTGACTGAGATGGTGCCTGTCCCTGGGCTCGCACACCCTCTGGCCTCAGCCTGGCCTCAGTCTCCCCTCCAGCTTGGTCCTTCGATGCCTGGGGGAGGTGTCTTGGGGCTCGTGGACTTTGTGTGATCTGAACTTCCGTTTCCCTTTTCTCTCCTGTTCTCTCTGCCCTGCACTCATCACCCCAGATTGGAGGACCGCGGGGCGAGAAGGGTCAGAAGGGAGAGCCGGCCATCATCGAGCCGGTAAGGATGCGTCCCGCTTGCGTTTCTGCGCGGGTTCTCGTGATGTTTGCCACCAGGGACCCGCGGCGGGGCACAGAGGCTGTGCCTGGATCCCTGGGCCATGCCGGGAGCTGCGGCCTCGTGTGCCTTGTGCCCTGTTTATTGCCAGGGCCCGGGAGGGGCCCCTGGGGATAGTGTAGGGCTTGGTTGAGCTGCATGGATCGCACCTCTCAGATGCCACTGTGTCAGGCAGTGAGGAGGGGAAGGGTCCGGGGAAGCTCACAGGCCGTCTTCGAGTCTCGAGCAGAGCTGCCTCCACCACCCCTGCCCTGGGCTCTGCGCCCTCCTCTCTCAGAGTGCCGTGACCTGGCTGGGAGCCCAGGGTCTACCTCGTGGCTTCAGAGCTGCCCAGTTGGGGCCTGACCTGCTGGCTAAAGAGCTGTGCGAGCAGCCTGGGGCTGGGCCCTGCAGCGGCATGAGGCTGGCACTCGTGTTGGGGGAGCTGCTGCCCAGGTCTACCTGCTGTGCCGCTCAGGTGCCCACAGGAGGAGAAGCGCATCCTGCACCGGGGCTGGGCGCCGGGCCGGCCAGGTTGTCACTTCTCCTGTCAGGACCCGTTCCCCGGGGCTCAAGGTGATGGAGAACCAACAGCGGTGGCCTCACCCTTCTGTGGGAAGGGGAAGGTTCTCAGGAGCCTGGCGGTGGTGTACTGTGAGCCCTCGTCTCTCTGTGATCTGTGTGAAGCCCATGGCCAGGGCATTCTGGATGCCCCTCGTGTGGGTTTCTGGGGCAGGAGGGCCGAGCCCCGCCATGGCCCTTGACAGGGGTGGGACCTGTCATCCCTGTGAGCTGTGAGCTCAGAATCTGTGCGCCCTCTTCCCGGACCAGTGCCCCCTTTCCAGAGCTCTCTGCGGCCCAAGAGCCAGGGCATGTGGAAGTGCGAGGCTAAGGCCACCTCCAGGGGTCCAGCCCCATGGGGAACCAGTAGCCCAAGTCCAGGGGAGGTGGAAGGTGACCCTGGAGGGGGGGTGGACCCAACCCCCAGAACATGGCAGCAGGGCTTGTCTGGAGGTGTCTACAGCAGAGGTGGCCTCTCGGGCCCACCCTGCTGTCTCCCCTGGGCGCTGGGCTTTTCTGCAGCACCTCCCACTAGCGGGTGGCGGACTAGAGCCTGACCTGGGGCTCCTTTCATGGTGTCCTCCTTGCTTCAGGGAAAGCGGTATCTTTCCTGGGAAGAACATGGGACCCTAAGAAAGGACAGGGGCCAAGGCTCCGTGGGGTCCTGGGTTTGGTCCCCTCGTTCGGGGCTGACACTTTGTGAAAGCCTCATGGGTGCCCTGCACGTGGACGTGGGGTTCGAGGAGCAAGGGGGCGTGGAGAGGCCCGGGATGGGTCCGAGCACAGCCCAGGGGAAGTGGAGGTGAGCCTGAGTCAGCACCAGCACTGTGCCTCGTGAACAGAACACCATCTGGAGGTAGTCAGGGAGGGATACGGGACCCCGCCCCTGCATGGCATTTGTCTCCTCCCCGCCCCCAGTCCCATCGGAGCATCTGCCTGGCCCCTGGCCTGTACCCCTGGAGAGATTGCGTGGCCAGCTGGACTCTCCCAGCTGGAGTGTTGCCAGATTTCCTCAGAGTCTCGGCTGCACAGAGCAGATGGCCTGGTCCTGGGAGCCTGCTCCAGGCGTCCCCAGCCCCGCATGTGTCAGAGACTGGCTGATGTCCCCTCTCCCCTGGGATCTCTTGGGACTCGTGGGCCTCTGTAACATCTCCCCAGGGCCACAGACATGGGACAGGACCACCGTCTTGCTCCCCTTCCCAACCCTTTCGGACTTGTTAGCAAGACTGGAGACACCGTATGAGGATGAGGATCTGTTTAGCAGAGAGATGTCAGATTGACCAGTCAGGAACCAGGAAGTCCTCACTAAGGGCTTCTTCCCTGAGGGCATCCAGGGGGCACCAGGCCCCTGCTCCTCCTTTGCTGTTTATTGTTTTTAATTTGTAGATGGGGTGTTCACCTCTGCTCACAGCTGCATTGAGTTCAGGGAAGTCTGAGGTCTTTTATTTCCTCGATGTTTTTAAGTGGTGTATCTTTAAGGTGACGAGATAATGTAGTATTTTTTGGTTATCTCAGTGTTTGCGTATACAGAGAAGTCATTATTACAGTCATGCAAATTAACAGTTCCATCTCCTGTGCTTTTTTCCTCTTTGCTGTGTGTGTGTGAGAAACAAGGACCTAAAGTCCAATCACCGATGCCCAGTGCCCTGTTAGCAGCTAGAGTGGACCTCCTCCTATGCCTCAGCCTGCTGGACTTGGGGATGGGTGACAGGGTGGGTGGGTGCGGCCCAGGGTGGGTGGCTGCGGCCCAGGGCTGCAGGGCCCTGGGCCCTCCTCCACTGGCTTGCCCACCCCTTTGTTCCCACTTCCTTCCCATGCTGACTTGGAATGGTGTAGACTTGGCCTCCCATGAGGAGCTGGCTGGCATTGCCCCAGTTCCCCAGAACGCAGCGTGCGTGTCTGGGAAGGCAGCTGTGGTCCCCCGGGCTGTGCCGTGGCCAGTGGTGCCTCACTTAATCCCTGCTCGGTGACTGGCTCTCAGCTGCTCGGCCGGGCGGGAAGCGGGAAGCTGGGATTATGGGCCCTGGACGAACGCTCCAGTGCCTCGGAGCTTCGCACGCACAGCTCCTTCTTCGGGCGCACATCTGTGTAAACACAGCGAACCTCTCGCCAGTGGTGGGGAGCCTTGGGGTTGGGGGAGTGTTCCCGCCGGTCACGGCATGCCCCCTCCCAGGCGGGGGGAGGAGCCCTTTCTTTGTTCAGAAGCAAGCCAGATTTGCTGGGGGGCCACACACCCTCAAAGACATGCCCAGAGCGTCACTTTTCTCTCCTGCACTGTGATTCCTCGTTGTCCCCTTTACCTGTGGCCTGTGGTCTCAGAGCTCTCTGTCTTGCAGGGCATGCTCATCGAGGGGCCGCCCGGCCCGGAAGGACCCGCTGTGAGTGTCAGGGTGTTTGTCTGTGTCTTGGGGGAAGGGCTGTGGGGAGCACCCCTGAACACCCTGGTGGGAAGGGAGAAGGGCTTTCCACTTGGGCCCTGCATGTCTCCTGTCCGCCTCTACCCCACCCTGTTTAGCCGTACCTGTGGCCACCTCTGTAGTCCTGTCTTGATTTTCTTTTTAATTCCAGGGTCTTCCAGGACCTCCAGGAACAACGGGTCCCACTGGCCAAGTGGGCGACCCCGGAGAGAGGGTAAGAGGGTGACTGCGTTCTCTGGGGCTGTCCGTGTGTCCTCTGTCAGTGTACTGGGCCTCCTCACAGGCCAGGAGGTCCCCCTGACCCCTGGTGGCACCTTGGAGCATTGCAGCCTCCGGGTTCTCCCGCTCATCCGTTTTCCCTTCCCTGTAGTTTTTGGGTTTTGCCGCTGGTTAATGAGCATCGCGTGAGTGTAGCATTAGGAGCCCACGGCAAGCTGCAGAAGAGAGGAGCACGGTACGGGGTGGGGTGGCAGGCATTTGTCCCCAGTGCCTGGGGACCTTGTGAGTATTTGGGGGGCGAGCAGATGGCTGGGTCTGGCCACATGGGATGTGACGTGAGATTCCCCACTCACTGTTCCTCGTGGCTGGGGATTGTGTCCTGAGCCTTCTGGGGAAGGACACAGCAGGAAGAGGCATCTTGGCTGGGGATATAGCTCAGAGGCATAAAAGCCTGCCTGGCAAGCGCAAGGTCCTGAGTTCGATTCCTGGTACCAAAAAAAAAAAAAAAGGAAGCAACATCTTGCCAGCCTCAGAGGGTTCGCCAGCTTCCCCAGGCTTCCCTGGTTCTGCTGCCACAGTCCGCACCCAGCCCAGGACCAGCAGGACGTCACAGTAGGGCTGTGCCCACCCAGCCCCCTCTGCCGCCCCCATCCTCACATATCTGGGGGAGATAGGGAAGTGACCAAGTCCCCTCCCCAGAGCCCCATGAATGTGACAGTCTTAGTTTGTTTTCTTGTTGCTGAGACAAAATACCCAACACCACAAGTTAAAGGAAGGAAGGTTTATCTTAGCTCACACTTTATAGGGGTTTCAGTGCATAGTTGGCTGGTTCCAAGGCAGGCAGTAGGACAGAGGGGCATGGCAGAGGAGAAACAGTCCATGGCAGGGCAGGCAGGAGGCATCAAACCTTTCTTCTTTCCTTTTTATTTCCATCAAGGCTGCAAGCCTTTTCGTTGGTGCCACCCACACCCAGGGTGGGGCTTCCCTCTTCAGAAAGTCTGTCATCTACACCTTGAACTGTGCTAAGTCAGTCAGTTAGTGGACTGATCCAGTATCACACACCTGTGATCCAGTCACTCCCCAAAGCCCCACCTATGAGCGCATGAGGCTTCCAGGGGACATCTGGGTAGAAGCCAAACCAGTGACAGTCCACACACTGGGAGGGGGCCGGGTGACATCAGGAGTAGGGGAGGGTGATAGCGAGTGATGGTATCTCTTTGTCAACCTCAGTGTTGCGCCGCCTGTTTGTCACGCAGATAAGCGTTCTCTAAGTGCCCCCGCAGGTGCCGGCTGGGCCCTGCAGGTCCGCCTGGCTGTGAGCAGGGCTGCCTCTTCCCTTTCGCTCCCTGCCTGTGAGCCACAGTTGGGCGGCCTGGCCCCGGGCTGTGTGGGAGGGTCCCCAGCAGCGGAGTGGCGTGAGTTTCAGCGCTCATTGCCCTTAAATTCAGCTCAGGTCCCGGGAGCATGGAAACAGGGCTTGGCTGGTAGAGAAACCCCTCCTCCAGAGCCTGTGGTCCTTGGAGCTGGGGGAGGCCTGCGCCCAGCTGTCCTGGAGGCCTTCTGGGTGGGGGGCACTGATCCCAGGGCCAAGCACAGCTCTGAGCTTGGGTGGGCCTGGTTTGGAAAGTTGCTTGTGCCCACAGCTCCACATCCCCTCAGCACCAGGCCTCACTGGGCCGTGAGAAGCCTGCTCTGCCGTGTGTGTGTGTGTGTGTGTGTGTGTGTGTGTGTGTGTGTGTGTGTGTGTTGTGGGCTCAGAATCCCTGTGCTGGGATGGAGAAAGTTCCCTCTGGCCTGTAAGTTTAGTGTCCGGACCCTACAAGTTCAGAGGACAAAAGGAAGATTAACGGGAACGAAGGCGTGAGGTTTTATTCCTGCACTGAAGTCTACGTGAGAAGTGAAAATGCAAAGAAGTGATCGGGCCGGGAGCCCGTGTACCACGGTCACACAGCAGGGCAGCGTGGAGATGCGACCAGACCAAGGACGGCATGGGATGCGAGCTCGGGCCAGTGATGGGGAGGTGATGGGGGACACTGGTGGACAGTAGGGTATGCCCATGCAGGCTGGAGCCCAGTCTGGTCTTGGTACTCACAGCTGCTGTCCCCATCCGGTGTGGGGATGGGTTAATGTTTGTGTGCTTTAACACAGTGGGTGGGCAGCCAAGGCGCAGAATGCCCTCGGGCTGCAGTGGCAGGTTTGGGGCGGTGCGTTCCTACGCCTTCTGCCTGGTCTCTTTCTCCTGGCTGCGTGGAGGCTCCACGCCATGTGACCTGCCCGCTGCCCCAGCCCTGCCAGCCTGGAGTTTCCTGCACCCCTTCCTCCCACGGCCTCTGTGCATGAATTCTTGTCTTCTGACCATGGCTTGTTGGGCCCTTTTCTTCCTTGGTGGGTTCCTCCAAGGCAGGCCCACAGCTGTGCCTGTCCTCATAGCCCCTTCCCTGTAGCCAGCAGGCATCCTGGGCAGCTGTGGCCAGTCTCTGTGAGTGGCCAGTCAGTGCAATGGCTGTGTCCCTGACCTGTGCACCACAGCCCCAGCCTCGAGCATCTGCTGGGCTGCATTGTCAGACCTGCCTTCAGCCCCTCGTGTCCTCCCCGCCCTGTGATTGATGTGGGCTGCGATGCAGCTGGCCGTTGCCCGCCTCTTCCCAGGTGGCAGATGGGCAGGTGTTGCTCAGGGGTGGGGGTGCAGCTGGAGCAGGGGCGAGCCCAGATCCCCTGGTGTATAGACTGGGAGGCCCCATGCTAATGCTGCCCCTCAGAAGAAAAAGCACAGGGAGCCCCTGAACCCCCACGGCTGGCAGCAGTAATCCTGCCCAGCGCCTCTTCCTCCAGCCTGGCCCCTATGCCTGTTGGCAGAGCTTCTCAGAGCTTCTTGGCTTTTTGGTGTCCTGGGTGTTGCCCACGACTGATGGGGCTGACACTGTTGAGGCTGTGTGGCCGCCAGTTGCAGTGGCACCACAAACCTTCCCAATGAGTGGACAGCGGCAGTGGCCGTCCCTCTGGGGCATGGAGCAGCATCCCCCTCCCCAAGCAGAGGTGGGGACTTCCCTGGGCTTTTGGGGAGCTGCCCGGTGATGAGACCCACGCCCGCTGCCTAGAAGGTGGGACGGGCTCTGCAGTGCTCTCCCCGTGTGTGACACAGAGCTGTTGCCCAACAAGGTTTGTGCCAGAGAAAGCCGAGCTGCGATGGGTGGTCATGGATGCCCCCTTCCCCGCATGCTCTGCAAAGCCATGGGTCTTGGTGCTGGTGGGTTTCCCTCCCGCAGCCCTGTGCGCGTGGTCTGGTGCTGTCATGGTAGCCATGGTGCTTTTCTGGGCTTTCTGGGTTTTCCTGAAACTCAGCAGTGAACGGGATACTTTCCTGTTCTCTTTTAACTGCCCCTGGGCGCTGTCCCCTGGTCCCCTTCTGGGACCTCTGGTGACACCGCTCAGGGTTTCCGTCTGCCGCACCTTTGTTTTTGGTTAAAGCGATGGTCTGTTTCCTCGGGTCTGAGGAGGACTGGGAGGCAGCTCCCCTGGAAACCTCGGGTGCACGTGCAGGCTCCGCTGCTGAGGCCCTTCATGACCAGAGCAGAGGCCTGGGGTCCACAGTTCTGTGCTTCGCTTAGGGCACCCCCTGCCCGCAGAGCGGGCATGCATTTAATGTCCCCGGGGGGCAGCACCCTTCAAAGACTCCATCAAGGCCGTGTTTGACCCAACCTCCCATCTTTACGTTTGAAGGACTGGGCTCCCTCTGGAGTTTTCAGCACATTTTCTGGGCCTTAGAAAGGTTTGTAAGCTGTGCCCTCAGGAAAAGCAGCTATTACCTTCCCCGCTAGAAAGTGTGATGAATCGGCGCATTACAGGTGCAGCGCTGTTTCCCAGCACCAGCCTCGGGCAGCACTCTCGGCCGCCAGCTTCCGCCGGCCTGCTGGGCTTGCACCGGGGCCAGGGGCCAGACACAGATGAGGTTGCTGCACCGTCCTGGAGAGTCCATGATGAGTATGCGGCTGCTGCCCAGCACACAACACTGGGCTGTGAGGAAAGGATGTGGCCTGGGCTCGTGTTACCTCTCCAGCCTCCCGGGCACCACACGGGGCATCCAGTCTCTGAGCTCCGATGTGTGCAGGGAGTCACAGAGTGTGCCAGAGGCTGACATGTGAGCTCACATGCACACACATGTGCACTCACATATATGCATGCATGAACAGACACACAACCCATATACACACACAGACACACATTCATGTGCATGAGCACACAAATATACACATCTATGTGCACACACCTTGTGTACCTATGTAACACGCTGTCACACACAAATGCGTGTGCACATATGTACACAAACAAGTATGTACAAACAGCGCACACGCATATACACAGTGTGCGCACACGGTGTGCATTCCAGGGCAGCGGGACCCGCTTGCTGCGGTCCCAGCGGTCTGGTCTCCAGCAACCAAGCCATTTCCCATCACGTTCACGTCACAACTTTGTCTCCTGCAGCCACTGGCAGGCCCCTCAGAGTGCTCCCAGCATCCAGTGCCATGTGTGAGCAGAAGAGCATGTGCACACACGTGCACACATGCATGTAGTACACACAAGCACATGTGTGCACACAGTCACGCAGGGCACAGGTACATGCACATACACACATGCAGACATTCACCCCACAGGCAGCATCTCTTTCCTGGGAGGAGTGAACCTCGACTTCTAAATTGGGGGTTTGGCTTGGTATCAATTTCGATGCAGCCGTGACCATTCAGTTTCCCAGAAAACACAGTTTTTATTTTTGTTTTTTTTTGTACCAGGAATCGAACTCAGGACCTTGTGCTTGCCAGGCAGGTGCTTGTGCCACTGAGCTACATCCCCAGCCTCAGTTTCCCAGAGAAAGCCTGGACTGAAAACATGCTCTGTGCGAGCGTGTGTGCGTGAGTGTGTGTGTGCGTGCGCATGCATGCAGTGCTGGGGATGCAATCCAGGGCCTTGCATGTGCTAGGCAAGCGCGGTACCACTGAGCCACCCTCCTAGCCCTGGATGTTTGGCTTGTAAAAAGGACTTCTGTCTTCTGAGAATTTTTTTTCTGAAATGGCAGGCAGGAGCCATCTGGCAGCATCCATTAGCAGAGAGCAGTTGAGGCTGTGGCCACCTTTTCTGTCCTAGGGACAGGCCGGGCCCCTCCCCTTGGCGCGCACACCGTAAGAACGAGGGCCATGACGTACATAGCCGCGGTTGGCTGTGAAGGAGCACGGTGTGGGGACAATCGCATTAGTGAAGGAGGGAACCACCTCTCGGGCCTGCGGAGCGCCAGGCGTGTCAGATGCACGGGCGGGCCCGTGTTTCTGGCTCTTTCTAGCCACACACACGGATGGTAGCACTGGAGACTTCTGCGGGGGAGCGGGCTGTCCTCTGCTCACGCTCTGGGGCAGTTTCTGTGCAGCACCAGCAGAGTCAGGATTACTCTTGTGACCCAATTGCCTGATGCAGGAAAGGCAGCCGAGTCTTGGTTTTGGGCCCAGATGACCCCACGCCCTCCCGGATGGGTCAGAAGGCCTGGAGTGTTTGTTTCCCCCCTGGAGCATGGCGCTCTGCCTGGGTGCGCACGGGACCCCATGTAGCCCTGGCACCAACTCCTGCCTGTTAGAGCGGAGGGGTTCACAGGGAAGGGTTCAGTGCCATTGAGGTGCAGAGTAGCCTCATCTGCCTTGAGCCAGGCGCCTGTGTCGGTGACAGGCTGTATAATCAGACTGGTTTGAAATAAAGCGTCTCAGTCACTCTGGGGTCCCGTCATCCTGAGGCCGGAGCCCCACCAGAGACTCTCATCCTGGGCCTGGCATGGAGACCAGGTTGCTGGCCGGGGGGGCGGGGGCAGGTGCTGGAAGTTGCCGGGATGGGTTCATCTCAGCCACACACAGAGCTGGGCCAGACCAAAGATGGGCACTAGGCCGGGCAGCCTGGAGCTTGTGTTCTTGTGCAGGTGCCGTGCGGAGCCAGGGGTGGGACACGTCTGGATCACAGGCACCGCCACAGCCCCCCGAGTCGGCTCTGGCCCAGCTGGACTCACTCTGTGGCCCTTCAGCCTCCGACCCGCCTTCCTAAAGCGTTTCCCCTGGGCTGGGCGTTCCCTGACCTGGGCCTCGTGTGCCCTTCCCACTTTCGGTTGGGCTGTGCCTTCTGGTGCCCCCAGCCTCACTGTGGCCTGGCTCCATCCCTGGCCTGCTCTGACTTTCTGTCTTCTCTCTGTCCCCAGGGCCCCCCTGGACGCCCTGGCCTCCCTGGGGCCGATGGCCTGCCTGGCCCACCCGGAACCATGCTCATGCTGCCGGTGAGTGTGCGCGTCTGGGGGTGGGCAGAGGCCTGGACATGGGGCACTTGCATTTCCAGGAGAAAAGTCTCCTTGGCCCAGTGTTACCCACCAGGCCGGCCACCGCCTGGGGCAGTTTCTGCATCAGAAGCGGGGAAGGGGCCGGACTGGGGGCCGGGTCTCTGTGGGGTGTGATGCCCTCTCCCATCGGGTGGCTCCTGGGTGTGGGAGGAGAAGGCAGTGATTTTACTTCCTTTAGGCTCTTGGCCTGGATGAAGGTGCTCTCTCCATTTAGCTGCCCACATGGAGACACCAGCATGGAGCCAGGGTGCCCTTTCTGGGCTGTGTTCATTGGCTGTCACTAGGGCCATGGGCGGGTTTTGGGGGACACTGTGGCTGACATCGGCAGGCAGGGTGGGCGTGCGTCGGGGCTCTGCATAGCCTCAGAAGCTGGTGGGCACCGTGGCCTTGTTCTGGGGTCCAGGTGGGCACCACATTGCACCCCGAGTGACTCTTGTCTTCCTCCTTCAGTTCCGCTTCGGAGGTGGCGGAGATGCGGGCTCCAAAGGCCCCATGGTCTCCGCCCAGGAGTCCCAGGCCCAGGCCATCCTCCAGCAGGCCAGGGTGAGTGGTGCAGGGCCTGGGGGCGATGAGGGGACAGGGCCCAGCCCGGGCTGGAATGGCCCCGTCACCGTGTGGTCGGAGGGAGGGGTCTGTGTCCAGTGAGATCCCTTTGAGTGTGGGGAGCTTGGGGGCAGTGTCCCTTGTCTGCAGTGAGGCCTGTGAACCCCCCGTCTGACTCGAAGGGCCCATCTTTTGCTGTTTGCAGATGCCTAGGTCTGAGCAGGCTGAGCACTGTGGTCCTGTATGGGGCAGAAAAACCCCACTGGCTGGGTGGCTCCCTTGGGTGCCCAGGCTGGGCAGGGAGCCCTCGCCTGGGGGCCTAGGGTCTGGGGTCTGCAAAGAGGGGTATGCCTGCTTCCCAGGAATCAGCTCTCAGTGGACTGCTCTTTCCTTTCGTGGAATGGGTTCTGCATGAACCCAGGGCCTTCCCAAACCTTTCTGTTACTCACTTTGAGAGACAGGATCTCACTGAGTCCCTGTGTTGTGCAGGCTGGGCTTGAACTTGCGATCCTCCTGCCTCAGCCTCCTGGAATGTGGGAAACAGGCTGGTGTTTGCCCTTCTAAAGGATGTGGCTCCGGATTGCTGAGTGCCCAAGCCAGCAGCGCACATGCCCGGGGGGTGACGAGGGCAGTGGGCTGTCCCCCGGGGGTGTGCAGGGAAGCTGCCGATGCTCCCTTGTTGGAGAATATTTATGTCCTGCCGCACAGCGCAGGCCGTGCTAACGACTGGCGTGCATGGGTAATTACAGCGCGGTTTAAGTACTGAGTACTCGCTGCGGAATGGATTGGCGGGGTCACAGTAAGGCCTGACAGCCGTCACCTGTGACTAGATTTATTGCCTTGGGCCCGCCTGGCCCGCTTTCCCTCATGTGTATTTTAGTCAAAGCCAAGGGGATGATGGGCTCAGAAGATTCTGCAGCGTGAAAGAATCTTCCCCAATTAAGTGGCTTTGGAGGGACCACAGGTACAGGACAGAGTGGCTCCCGAGAGTCAAGCTGAAGCTGCGTGGTGCCAGGGGGTACCACCAGCAAGGCTCAGGTGGGGACGGAGAGCCCAGGGCCACGTGAGCTCCCCACTCACCCCAGATGCCCCACAGGTGCCCGAGAGGGCTCGATGCATCTCCTAGGGGAGTAAAATACTTCTTGACTCAGCCTGAGCCTGTGTGCAAGGTGCAGCTCTGGCTCCCCGGAGGGAGGCCGCCTCTCGTGTTCAGCCCTCTGGTCTCACTGCGGTGGGCGCTGGATCCCTGGAGAAGCAAGGCCAGTGGGCCTCTGCAGGAGGCCCAACCCTCTCTTCCAGAGCCTCTGTCCCTCTCCTGTCCCGTCCACCCTCTCCCTCCTGGACGCAGCTCACTGTGTTCCCCTTTCCTCTGCAGCTGGCACTGAGGGGACCAGCTGGCCCGATGGGGTTGACGGGGAGACCCGGCCCCATGGTGAGTCCTGGCCCTGCGTGGGGTGGTTCCCTGCTGTGTCCCTGGAAGGGGGTGGCAGGGCGGCGGTGTGGGTGAGCGGCCTCTGGGTGCTGCCTCAGCACCGCCTGGGGGCTGAGGTGGGCGGCTCTGGCACAGGGTCGCTCAGGGGACTTGCTCCCTGGAAAACAGCCCCACCTGTGTCCAGCCTGGGGCAGAGAGGTGGGGGGGGCCCGTGCGCCCCCTGCAGGGCACACAACCCCAGCTGCTGTCCTTTCCTTACCAGGACGCTGCAGGTGGGGGGGGCTGAGCCCCTTCGAGGGATCAGGGTGGGCTGGGAGCTGGGGATGTCCGCAGGGGCCAAGTCCCCACAGCTGCCCTGGCTGTGGCTTTGCCTCAGGAACCAGGTCCAAACCTGTCTTTCCGGACCCCCTCTTTCCTGTGGGCCTGTATCAGAGTCGGGGTAACCCTGTGTGGGCAAACCCGGGCGTGCAGCCCTGCCCAGCTGGGACCTTGGCTTGGCTCTCTCCCGCGGCCCTCAAGGCATGAGACGGACCTGGCGTGTGTCAGGGACACTCAGGTCCTGCAGGTGTCGGGGTCTCCCGGAGTGTGAGGTTCCAAGGCCGGGATTTTGAGGGCCTCTCACAGGGCCTCTGGCTGGCTACGCGTCTGCCACTGGGCCTCGCCTCAGTCTTCCTTGGGACTGGCTTGGGCTGGCCTCCCTTGGCAGGGCGCCTGGGCCCCTGGGGTCCACACTGGCTCTGAGGGACTAGGCCTGTCATCCTGAGGAGGAGCCCTGGGTGCCACATGGCCCGGCAGCCCGGCACCTGGAGTTCACATCACCTGGAGCATCAGGAACGAACCTGAACTCTGCAGTTCTAACTCCCAGAATCCTCCTGACTTCCCGTCCACTCGGCTGCGGTCCGGTGGGTCGGGCTGTGCGTGGGGCACATGAGCCACCATGGGGGCCCTGTCCCCTGCCCCACGCCCACCCTGGAGCACAGGCTAACCCAGATCTGTCTCCACAGGGCCCTCCTGGCAGCGGAGGTCTGAAGGGCGAGCCGGGCGACATGGGGCCTCAGGTATGTGGGCAGCTCGTGTGCTCTCGGCAGGGCTCTCCTGTTCACTGGCCGGGGGACCAGAACGTTAGTGCCCTCCTTGCCGCGTTTCTTCGGGAAAGCAAGCAATGGGGGTGGTGGTCACTGGACCACAGGGGCAGAAACACCCGACTGGTGCCCCTCCTTGGCCGGGGGCCTGCCTGTGCCCTGTCCGGGATGCCCATGTGTTGGCAGCCACGACAGCGAGCACTGGGCCGAGCCAGCGAGTGTGGGGATGTGCTTTGCTCATTCGGAAGGAGGTGGGCGAGTGCTGATCCCTGTCTTCCGATTCTCCCGGCAGGGTCCCCGAGGTGTGCAGGGCCCACCCGGCCCATCAGGGAAACCCGGAAGACGGGTGAGTGCTTAGGGGATGTGATCCGGTGGGGTGGGGACAGCTGGGTCATCCTGTGGCCCTCAGTGCCCGTCTGTCTGCAAGGCACGCCCACCTCGAGGGCGTGCTCGGGGCTGGGGACAGCCTGCCTGGTCCTGGTGCCCAGCCCCTTTCTTGGGCACAGCCATGGCCTGTGTCTTGTGGGCAGCCTCCTGGCTCCAGACCTGGCACTAATTTGGAATGGGTGCCCAGGTGCCCGCTCAGACCTACCCCTCAGCGATTTTCCTCTCCTCCTGGGATTTCCTGCTGGGAGTCAATCTCCTGGGGGTACCCTGGCTACTGGAAGGAGTGTGCATTTACAGAGTGGTGAGAGCTATCCCGGCCAGCTGGGGACGCCCCGGTTAACCCCACCATGCTCAAACACGTGTGCCCCCTGCAGCCAGTGCCCACCGCTTTGAGGCACAGGCAGGGGCTGTGCAGGCCGATTCCCCAGGGCACTCTCCTGGAATCCTGTGGAATCCTGCTCAGAAATCCCTGGCCCAATGGGCAGTTATCTTGGGCCAGGTTCTGAAGACGGTTTGATCTCGGTGTGTTTCCCAGGTGTCTCTGCGAACATGGTTAAGCGCTGCACAGAGGTGTCCCGGCCAGGCTGAGGGGAACTTAGGAAGGGAGATGGGTAGGTGGTTCCCAGGCGAATGGGCTGCCGAGTTAAACTGCGGCAGAGCTGTAACTGTGCGGAGATCCCAGGAAGTCAGTGTGCCCCAGAGATGACTGCGGAAGACGGTGGTGGGACGGGGCTGTGCAAACCAGCGGCCGCTCCTGGGTGCTCCTGAGTAGCCGTGAGGTCCTAGCCAGTGTGTCCTGTGAGGAGCCTGCCCTGGGGGCTGTGGACGATCTGGATGCATTGCAGGGCGGGACCTCTCCTTCAGGTTGCCCTGCATATCTAAAGCTGACAGAGATGGAACGGGAGGTGCCTGCCCGCCCGTGTATCCACTGAGGAGTCTCACCCTCACAGCCCCTCACTTCCTGTCTCCCTTCCTGGTCTGTGGGCACCTCTCTGCCTCCTTCTGTGCTCTTCTCTTGTGCTGTCTTCATCACCTGTCACACCGGGAAGCCCCAAACCGCGGCCTGCTGTCCAGATGTTTTTGCCTGGCGCCAGGTTCACGGGTCAAGGCCTGTTTGACCGGGGCACACAGGAAATAGAGTAAGGGCACTTGGACGCCTGGTTCTCAATAAGGATGGCTTAGAAGAATGTCACAGGGCCGCCCGAGTCCGTGTCGCCTCTGGGGCTCTTCCTGTGGTGATCATGGGGCCCTTGATGTTGTAGGGGACCCTTAACCTCCAGGTCCTGCCCGCCAGCCCTGTGGCCAATTAGCTGGGCATGGTGGGCTTGGCTTTGGCCATTCCGTGCCTGGAAGCCATGGCCATGAGAGTGGCCATTGGTGACAAGGTGACTGCTCATCCCAGGTCCCTGTGTGGCCTGAGTGAGACACAGCCTTTTCGGGCCTCAGTTTCCTCCCTGGCCGAGTGGACTGTTGATGCTTTTCTCCTGCACGTGAGCCTCTAGCTTGTCACTTGCCTGCCTAGGGTGGAGGGGAGGGTGCTGTTCATGACGTCGGCAGTGTGCCCCCAAGTCCTGCACCGTGGTGCCCAAGACTGGCAGCTCCAGCAGGGCCTGGCACATTCAGAGGGGCAGGTGGCATCTTACCAGGGGGCCCAAGGCCGGCCAGCAGCACCCCATTCTTGGTGTGTGGTGAGGGGTCTTCAGGGCTATGGATCTGGGTCCCCTGGCCAGCCTGACATCATGAGGGGCTGCGGCCTGGGGGCTGGGGTGCCCACCCTCAGCTCCGTTCATGGTGACCCGCCTGCCTCTGGGCACTGACCACTGTGTCCCTCCTCTGTTCCAGGGCCGGGCTGGGAGTGACGGAGCGAGAGGCATGCCTGGACAAACAGGCCCCAAGGTAGGCTGTGCCCGAACCTCCTGGGGCTGGCACCACAGTTGCCATCATTCCTGTTGCCGTGTCGACGATACAGTCTGTATGTGGGTTGTAGCATGAATGTGGTTACAGTGGGCACTGACCGCTCACTGGGGCCAGTTGCTCTGGATGGCCAGGGCCAGTGACAGCTGCAGGCTTTCTGCCTAAGGAGGCAGCTTGCTCCTGTGACCTGGTGGTGAGCAGGCTGGGGTAGAATCCCAACCGTGGGAGCCACCCATGTGGCCAGGCCACATGCTCAGGGCGGGGTGACCTTGGACTGGTCAGGCAGCTCTCAAGCTGGGGTGGGCAAGTCTTCTCACCTCGTTGCAGGATGCCTGGGCTGTTGCCGGGCAGCCAGATATAGCCTGTGAGTGCGCACCAGGCTCACACGGCATGGGGTCAAACCTGTGCCAATCACTGCCCTCCCCGTGGCCCCCATATCCATCCCTGTGCCCTGATCTTGCCTGGCTCCAGGGAGGTGGCAGAGGTGGCAGTGCCCTTCTCCAGTGAGGAAGCCAAGTGGGCAGCCTGAGTCACCAAGGAGGCCAAGTATCTACTACCTTTTATTGTGCCCAGCTGGCGTGGCTGGGCTCTGAAACACTCTCCTGAGTCCTGAGCTCATGAGATGCCCTGGGCTTTGGTGGCCTGGGGAGACAGCGTGAGAGTCACCCACGAGACAGGCCACGGGAGGCGTGGCAGGAAGGCCGGCCCTGGAGCGGGGCGCCTGGGAGCCGGCTGTGGGCAGCATGCAGAAGGACAGGCAGGTGCCTGCTGTCGTGCCCTCCTTCCGCCCGGGAGACTGGGAGCCAGTGCACATGAGCTAATGGTGCAGCAGCCGCCTGAAACGCTGCATGACTCAGTCCCTGTGTACACTGTGGCCTGGGACAGCAGCTGCCCCGGTGGGGCGTGGGGAAGAGGCAGGATTTGTAGAACCCAAGAGGTGGGCTGGAGTGAGAGGGCGCCCCAGTGGCTACCAAGGCCCAGGTGGCTAGGTTCAGTGGCCCAAAGGTGGATGGCCACTGCTGGGCCAGCTGCACCATGGCTTCTGACGCAGCTCTTTGTTGTCTTTGTAGGGTGACCGCGGCTTTGACGGCCTGGCTGGGTTGCCTGGGGAGAAAGGCCACAGGGTGAGTGTTGGGTTCGAAGGATTGCCAGGGGTTTCTCGAAGGTCCTCCTATGCAGCCTGGTTCCTTATATAGGGTCAGGGCCCCCTCCTTTCTAAAGTGGTTCTGCAGGAAGCTCACTGGGGTGGCAAGGCGCTGACCCCCACAACGCTCTCTGTTGGTGGAAAGTCGGCAGAAACGAATTGGATTTCTTTTCTGCAGCTTGCAGCCAGCAAGCTCTGGGGCCCAACAGGCCGCTCCCCCTGGGCGTCATGGTGCGGGGTCGCGCCCCACCTAGAAGCCACCTTCTAACAACAGAGCCTCTCCCTTCCTCGGGAGCGCAGGCAGCAAGCATTTGGGGAGCGGCCAAGGACACGTCACACCATTAGAGTGGTGGCCTCGCAGTGGGACATCCCCAACTCCTTGTCCCTTTTAGGGAGGGCTGGGGACCAGTACCCGGCTGCCTGCTCTGTCTCCCCGCCCTGTGTGGCAAGGACTGGTTGTGATGTTTTCTCACTGACCTGCTTTCTTTGAAGCAGATTTCTTTGATGTTTCTCTTCAGTTTTGACACATTGGGGACAAACAAGCATTTGTGTATATGCATGCACACACACACAGAGGCACCCACCCACGCATACATATGGAGACACACAGGCATGCATACTTACGCATTTGCATGTACACACATGCATGCACACTCAAGCACACAGAAGCACACCCTTGTGGGTCTGGCCGGTGGGAGTCACCCCTCACATTCCACTGTGTGTTAAGAAGCCGCAGCTGGGATTCACCTTGAGCTTCTGCTTCTGTACCCTCCAGGAGTCCCATGAGACCAAGCCACACAGCTGTGAGGCAGAGCCCAGCTCAGCACTAGTCCTGTTGACGGGCTGCTGAGCACATACCGAGCGCCAGCTGTGTGCAAGGCGTAGCACGAGGGTGGGCTGTGGGTGCGCCTGGGGAGGCTCAGACTCGGCTCAGTGGCCGGGGAGTGTCCTGGTGCCTGCTAGGTGCTCAGTCTGCTGATGCGGCCCCCACGGCCGTCCAGGTGGGTCTCGGGTGTGAGGCTCTAACCATGTCCGTGCTCATGGGACTTAGGGTTTGCAGGACCAAAATTAGAGAACAAGAAATGGGGGTCTGAGATGGTCTGTGTGCCAGCTCGGGCGCGGCTAACGCTGACCGCTTGACTTCCTAGGGTGACCCTGGTCCTTCTGGCCCTCCGGGACCCCCAGGAGAGGATGGAGAAAGGGTAGGTGTCCCATCGTGCCTGCAGAGTACCTGCCCGCCGGCTCTGCTTCGAGTGTGGGTGGGGACGCTGCGGGGGAGGCCGGGCGCTGTGGGGTTGGTGGGTGGAGGAGGAGCACAGAAGTCTGGGTGCCAAGGCGATCAGCCTCAGGGAGGCGCTGAGAGCTTCTGAGATAAACACAGATCACTCACACCTACCTCGCTGCACCCACCGTTCTGCCAAGGGGGGCTCCAGGAGTGGCCCTCTCCTGTCACGGTCTCGGGAAGAGCCCCTCTAATTGCAGGAGGCAGGTGCCCCTCGCCCACAGGAGGGAGAGGCAGAAGCTTAACGAGCTAGTATCTCGCAGATCTCACCAAGAGTGTCAGGAAGGTGGCAGGTGCGGGTGCGCAGGGTGCCAGTGAGCGCGGGGGAGGAGGGGCGCGGCTGCAGGAAGTAATTATCCTCGGCCCTGGAGGCGGGGAGGACAAGTGACCGGATCTGGAACACAGCGGGAGGGCAGGGAAGCTGTTCCCCAGAGCCGGGCCCTGGTACCGGCCACGCGCATCTGTAGACACAGGTTTGGTGCCCTGTGCAGAGCGCGCAATGTGGACGCGGGTGGACGAGTCGTGTCTCCTCTGTGCGCCCTGCTCAGTGTCTCTGGGAGTCGGGTACTTGGGGAGGTTGAAGAGCACCTGGAAAATGAAAGAGAGGAGCCGGCAGGGCGCGCAGGAGCGGGCTCCAGGGGCTTTTCTGTTCTCGCTCCTTTCACACCGCCCTGGCAGGGCTCCTGTGTCAGCCTCAGCAGTCTGCTGTGGGATGAGGAAGCGGGGAGGGACCCTTCTAGATGCCCGTGCTCCTTGATTCAGAGGAATCTGTATGTGTGCATATGTTTGTATACACACGCAGGCCCTTGTGAAAATGTATGTGTGTGCATGGTTGTGTGCGGATGTGCCCACGCAGGGGGCTTTGGGCATATACACAAAGGGCGCATGTGTGTGCATGCCTGTGCGGTTGTGTGCATGCATGTATGTGGGGGGTGTTTGTGTGTGCATGCACAGGGGGTGTGTGTGTGCTTGTGTGGCCGTGTGCATGTGTGTACATGTGTGAGGTATCTGTGTGTGCGCACACAGGTGGGCTTACATGTGTGGCAGGCAGGAGAGAGCGCTGCGTGTGGTGAGCCCAGGGCCTTTGTCTCTCGGTGTCCCGCCTTGAGGCGTGTCCCTAAGATCCCTCTGCTTTCTCTCCACAGGGTGACGACGGGGAAGTCGGACCCAGAGGGCTGCCGGGGGAGCCGGTAGGTGCGCCGATGGGTGGGAACCTGGGTCTTGGTGACGTGGGAACATCACAGCGAGGCCACCTCTGGAGCAGATGCACGAGGGTTTCCCTTGAGCACAGACAGTGCTGGCCTCTCCCTGGAAAGAAAGGAGGAGGCACACTTGGGGCTGGGCGACAGCGGGCGGAACAGCCCAGCCTTCCCTGGGTGCACCTGGGCTGCTGCGGGGTGGGTACCCTGGCTGGCGCAGGGCCTGGATCAGCCACTTCGCCCTGTTCTGATGGCTGCACCTTCCCGGCCCTGACAGGGAGAAACTCTCTTTCCTCAACTGACTTATATTTAGGCCCCAAGCAAATTTTCTCCATGGTACAAGGACATTAATTACTTTTCAGTTACTGCAGCTCTGAAACCTCTTTTCTCATTGTCCAAGCCAGGCGGGCGGCTGTTTGCATCTGGCGACATTAATTGATGAGTGATATTGTGCACGCCGTGCCAGGGAGGGCAGGGTTGGCGTATGTGCGTCCGTCTGGGACTGAATTAAACCCTGGGTGTCTGATCAGCCCCAGAGGAGGCCCGGCAGCCCTGCTCTCCTCAGCACACATCGAGCAGTACCTTCTGGGTTATTAGCTTCCGAGAAGCATTTCTATGACTGGGTATTAAATTATGGAGGGAGCTCTTAAGAGGCAATGAACGCGAGAAGGGCTTCTAACTAGAAAGGTTCTATCAAAATTCAAGGCACTTGGAATCATTGTGCTTTGGTTAAAGGCTCCATCGTGTCCCCCAGGGGCAGGGTGGGCGTGGGCCTTCCCGTGGCAGACGAGGACAGCGCACTGTCCTAGAGTCCTGCAGACTGTCGCATGCTGCAGCCAGGCCTGGGGCTGTGCCCGCTCTGTAGTTCTTGGGCCGCTGAACACAGCACCTCGCTGCTGGGGAGGGAGTGACAGCTCACGGCTAGGTGGCCGTCTCCAGCAGGACCCCGAGGCTCCCTTCAGAGGCCTGATTTCTCCTGGCCGCGCTTCCCACGCGCTTCCATCTCTGAAACCAGAAACAAGGCCGCATGTCCCTGCAGAGAGGGCGCCAGTAATGGGAACCGCACAACATGCCCACACAGCCCAGTGTCATGGTGTGGCATTTCTGTGGGAGAGTGTCAGTGCCCGCCGGCCCTGGGCAGGTGTCCACAACAACCCCCCCTTCCCTAGGGCTGCTCCTGCACCCCAGACACCCCTGCCTCTGATTCCCAGGAGGAGGTCCAGAGGCATCTCAGCCACTCTCCCTGCATCCTAGGTCACTGGCCACATTCTGAGGAACCCCCAGCCATGAAATTGGCTGGGGCAGGTCTGTGGACCAGCGCTCCAGACCCATGACCCTTCCTTGCTCTTTCCTCCTGCAGGGGCCACGTGGTCTGCTTGGGCCAAAGGGGCCTCCGGGCCCTCCGGGACCTCCCGTAAGTGCTGTCACCTCTTGGCATGCGTGGGGCCTGCTGCCCCGCTGTGACCCCTGGGGCAGTGGGGTGGGCACTGCAGGCCTGACTGCATACATGTAGTGTGGGGCTGCAGGTGGAGGCTGGGCAGTTGGCCCTGTCACCTACCCCAGCCTGTTTTCCTCCCTCTTGGGTATGCAGCACCTGCTGTTTCTGTGATAAGCAATCTGCAGGAGGCCATGTCTCCCAGCCGACCTCTTCCCTCATGGAGGGTTCTCGCGGTAGGCAGAGACCCTGGCTTCCGGTGGGCTCTGTCCTGGAGGGCCAGACCTGCTCTGCAGGGCTCCAACCAGCCTTTCCAGAACTCAGCCACGATGCCGGGCCTGGCAGCTCGGCTATCCCTTGGCTGAGGGCCTAGGGCCGACTCTCAGGGAAGGGACTTGGGGTCAACTCTTTCCTTCCCGGAAGGATGTCCCGTGGGTGGCAGGCATCTGAGCCAAGTTAAGCCGGACTCCCTTTCGAGCGCTGTTCATTTGTCCACATTCAGCACATGTCTTTTGAAATCTCCTCAGGGTGTGACGGGTATGGATGGTCAACCAGGCCCAAAAGGAAACGTGGTGAGTCCCGGGTCCCAAGGTCTGGCTCCACGGTGGGGCGGTGGGCATATCCTGCCTGGCTGGGAGGCCCTCACTGTCACAGCTGGGTAGGGACGCGAGCCCCGGCCTGCTGCCTCCCAGAGGAGGTGTCTGTCTGTCCAGCACCTGCAAGGTCAGTGAAGTATGCAGAGAGAAGGTCATTTTCTCCCTGTGGGAGGAGCTGGAGGCAAATGCTCCAGAACACGAGGCTCCAGGCACTGTGTCTTCCAAGAACACTGGAAACTTTAGGACAGGAGGGGGTTTCTACCCAGTGAAATACTTCACTTGGTTCAGGGAGCAAGTTAGCGCCCCCTGTGTCCGGGTCAAGGGCAGCAACCCCATGGCACCAAGTCCTGGTCTGGCCCTCCGTGGTTGGACCTGTGACCCATGCCCACCAGGCTGTCCTGGCTCCTGCTGCAGCTGCTGGGCAGTTAAGAGCAGGTGCAAAGCTGGGTGGCCAGGGAAGGAGGCGCAGTTCCCGAGCCACTTTCAGGGCCTTTGCTTTTGTTTCCCATAGGGCCCCCAGGGAGAGCCCGGACCCCCGGGACAGCAGGGTAACCCTGGTGCCCAGGTAAGTGGCCTTCGATGTGCATCTCAGGAGGTCTACCGCGGGAAGGGCAGGCTGAGGTCTGTCCCTCAGAGTCACTGGACCCTCTTGGTCCCCGGGGAACTAGGGCTGGTGCATGGGTTGGGGAGGGGATCAGCAGGGGGATGGGTGCTGGGCCTATCCTTGCCCTCACCGATGCTGTCTGGCACTGTCTCTGCAGGGTCTTCCGGGCCCCCAGGGTGCCATCGGTCCTCCAGGAGAGAAGGTGAGTGGGCCTGAGCCACGGGGGAAGGGAAGGCCACCCACCTGTGGCCACATCCCCTGGGCCAGGCTCAGTTTGGAGCCTGTGCTCGGTGCTCTCTGGAAGACCTCAGAGCTCAGCCCGTTGGAGCTGAGCACCTCAGCCATGGGGAAGATTTGGGCTCTTTGTCCCTTACCAGTTCATAAATTCACTCACTCATTGACCCTCCTGCCACTCTAGGGTGCCAGAGTTAGCCACAAAGAAAGGGCAGGGTGCCCAATTAAACGTGAAATCTGTTGTTTCTCTGAGGTTCAGATTTAGCTGGGCACCTTGTTTGGTGTTTGGCTCTGTACTTTACTTTTGATTTGCTAGATTTGGGCACCTGCGTGCCTGCCTTGCCCTGGGTGTGGGGTGGGGTGGAGTGGGAGCGCTTGTGGGGTACATGGCTGACCTAGGCTCCCGGTGTGAGAGGCAGTGCACAGCACCATGGTGGGGAGTGCCTGTCCCTCTAAGGGGTGGTCTGAGTGGGTCAGAGTCCCAAGGGCTTAAATGCCCAGAGGTGGAGACCTGTGACAAGGTGACACTGGGCCACTCTGCCTGACTGCAGTGGGTGCAAGAAAGGTGCCCCTGAGCCCTCACCTCCACCAATGCCCGTGGGGTGGAAATGTCAGGGAGAAGCTTGGGGCCACACTAAAGGCTGGGCAGGTCTAGGGGAGAGGCGAACACGGGGTGTCTGGTCTGTTCTAGGGTCCTTTGGGTAAACCAGGCCTCCCAGGAATGCCCGGCGCTGACGGACCCCCGGTGAGTAGCCCTGTGCACCCCACCCACCCCTACAGACTCCACCCCAGGGCTGGAGCTGGGGACCCAGGCTCGGGACGGGGGAGGATATGACTTCCTCTCTCCAGACCTGTATGGTATGGAGCTTGTAGCTCAGTGTTTACTTTGTCATGGACTCAGGGGGTGGCAACCACGCAGGTAGGGACATCGGTGACTTATTAGGGCGTGCTTTCAGCCACCAGGACTTGACTCCAGTGAGGGCCGGGTGGGGCTCCGAGCCGTCGCCTTGATCTTAGAAGCCTTGGCAGAAGGGCCGGTGTGCTGCGTGTATTTTTAGCGTGTGGGGAGGTGGGAGCGAGTGTGCTCGCGATGTGTGAGCACGCAGCTGTGCACCGAATTAGATCCCGCCTGGAATAGCAAGTCGGTGACAGATCCAATCTGTGGCCAAGCTGTGCAGAGAGGGAGGTGTGGGGGGTGGAAACGCTCGGAGCGTGTGCACGTGTGTGTGCGGGCCCGAGTGTAAGTTCTCCACCCACCGCTCTCCGCAAGGTGCCTCTGCTTTGGGCTTCTTTCGGAGTGCTCAGCTGATGCAGGAAGCAAGCCTGTGTCAGAACCAAGACACGCTGACTTAATTATTTAGGACAGCACGTGCCATTGTTTTAATGACACTGTTAAAGCCTAAACAGGAGAGCAATGCATGCTGACAGGTAATTGGTGCCTAGGTACCGCACGCCGTGCCTTCCTTCCCCTGGCAGAGGATCCCTTGGCCCCATGGATCACAAATCCCAGCCGCCCTTTCTTGCTCTGAGCAGACAGATCACTCCCATCCCCACATGGACCCCCCTTAGGGACATGTGGCAGCCTGGTCACATGGGGTTCAGGTACTAAGTGCTTCATGTTCCCACTGTGACACTTATGTCTTTTAATTTACGTTTGTGTTGAGTTGGATTTTCTAGTGCTGTCTAGACACATTTTCTTGTAGGTAATTAGAGAAGTAAATAAAATGATAATATAGAAGCCACATGGTGGCATCTGTGTGGCTTCACCGGGGACCACAGGCTGGCATATTCCTCCTGTCCTCGGCCCGAAGCAGGGGACACACAGGCGTCCATGGCTGCGGACAGCATGAGCTCGGAGGGGACCCACCCTGACCAGACGCGTTCCCTCGCGGGTTGGGTCCCTGAGGGGTCCCTGGCCCCCTTGTGCATGCTGCCTGCAGAGCAGGGCCTTTAGGACCCCCTCGCCTGGGGGGCCAGCAGGATGCCCCTCGGACTCTCTGTCTCTCTTCAGAGCCAGTGTTTAAGCTGTAAGGTCTGTGCCCTTGAGTGTGGGTCCCACAGAGGGGGCTGGGGGCAGCAGGCGGAAAGGAACCAAATCCAGAGACCCCAACTTACTGTGCATGGAGGGGGAAAGAAGTAAAAATAGTCTCCTCTGTGTCTGGAGTGATGCAGCGTACTTATCTTCTCAGGGCTCGGGGAGGCTGAGGCAGGAGGATCGCAAGTTCAGGCTTGGACTACTTAGAAACTTCTTGAGATGCTGTCTAGAAATGCAAAAGGGCTGGGGCTGTATCTTAGCGGGAAGGACCTGGACTCGCTCCCCAGTATCTAGCACGCACGCACGCACGCACGCACGCACATGGTCCTTTGCAAAGACAGCACAGCGTTGGTCAGCCTGAGAGGGCTGTTTGTTTGCCTTGCATTGGTTTGGTTTGGGTTTTGGAGAAAGGAAGGTTGATTGAAAAGGGGCGGAGGAGCAGGCAATGTTTCAAGGCTGACTCTGCTGCAGCGATAGGTAGTCACCCACAGCACACGCTGGGGGGGGGTAAGTGGGTTGCAGGTCAGCGGAATATTATGGAGCCAGCAAGAAATCGAATTTCAGTGTCTGTCTGGTGACATGAGAAAATGCTCGTTCTCTCGTATTAAATTAAAACCGCATTCCGCCCTGCGCATGGTGCACGGTGTCTGGAGAGAAACCGATCAGAAGCTCTGGATCCCGCAGTAAGCCACAGCGGCTGTGGGGCCGAGGTCAGAGCGCTTCCGTTTCCCTTCTCCCTTGCCTACTCACCAACCATGAACATGTATTACTTTTTTAATCAGAAAAATATCAAGCACAAATAATTGAAGCCTTATTATTTCCCCATTATGAAAGCCGCGCTCTTTAAGAGTATTGGGGGAGTGCCAACAAGGGGAAGCGAGGGCTGTGGGGGCCCCGGGGATGAGCGAGCCCCCTGCCCACCCCCAGCTGCTCATCTGCAGACTCAACCCAGAACACAGCTTGGGGAGCTGGGCCTGTGCTGCTGCGTCTTGGGGGCGGCACTGTGGGGTCCCTGGGGCCCGAGCGCTTCACCATCTCGCTCCCTGCGTCCCGAACAGCGGCCCAGCCAGCCATAGCGTGAAGAGGGCAGCGGGTGCCGAGTGGCCGCGCCTGGGGCTGCCCTGTGTGTCACCGGGCTCTGCACAAGGGAGCCTGCCCACCCCAGAAGTGCCTCACAGACTGGCGTCCAGACACTGCAGAGCTAGCTGCAGTCAACCCCCTTGGCACCCCAAGCCGTGTCCTCTCTTGGTGCTGTTGGGGCTGAGCCCTGGCACCCTGAGCTGCTGGCACTGGGAGCACAGATGCCATCTCTGGACGGTGAGGGGTGGCCGGCTGTGTCCCGCTGGGACCAGAACAGCAGGTGCTGGCCCACCCACTGGCCCTGAATGTCCTCCCAGGCCACCTAGGCTCCTGCTCGGGGGCACATTTGCAAAAGCACCTACTCTAGTTGCACAGCTCAGAACAAAAAAGCTGGGCATGGTGGTGCACACCTGTAATGCCAGCTGAGGGAGCTGAGGCTGGAGGATCAAAAGTTCAAACCCAGCCTGGGCCACTTAGCAAGACTCCGTATCAGGATAAAACATAAGAGTCAGGGATGCAGCTCAGTGTAAAGGCCCTGGGTTCAATACTCAGTACCTTGAAACACAACAATCACAAAAGAACACAGGCAAATGTTTCTTAGAGGGCTCTATAGCCGGGTCTCGAGCCGGGGCCCCAGGTGCTGTTGACCACTTGAGCCCTGGCAGCCCCCAGGTGTGAAGACCTGGGTGCACCGGGACCCCCGGCCAGATGACGGGACAGCGCGGCCCTGCCCGCTCCCCTCGGTTTCCGACATCAGATGGGGTCAGATGGTGTGGTTTGCAACAGCAGAGACCCTGCTGGTTGGGGAGGCTGTGGAGTCAGGTCCCCGCCCCTTGTCCGGTGTCCTTTTTGCCGTGTGATCTGAGCAGTGTCCTCCTCGTCCCTGCCCCCGCATCTGTGTTTGGTGGGATCTGCCCAGAGGGTGGGCTGGATGCCACGTCAGGAGCAGTAGCTCATGGTCATGGCCATCCTCACACTGCACCCGGTGGGGGGACATGTGTGCCCCTCTGGGATCGGGGCTGGCTGTGGTCAGGGCTGGGCTGACACTTCCTGTTCCCCTTTTGCAGAGGGGCTAGGAGTGACCAGGCCATGCCAGGCCACCTGGGCAGCCGTCCTTGAAGTCCATCTTCCTGGGGAGGAAGAGCCGGGGGCTGTGACCATCACCACCACCTTTGCCAGGTGGCGGTGGGTGGTGGAGGAGAAGCCAGGAGGCTGCTCCTGGAGGTGGCGGCTGACTGACGCGCTTTCTCTTTCCTTGCAGGGGCACCCTGGCAAGGAAGGCCCTCCCGGAGAGAAAGGAGGCCAGGTGGGTCCTCGCCGTGCCCGGCTCCCCGGAGCTCAGTCGCCAGTCTCCTGGGCTAGGAGGCGGCAGGCTGGGGGCTCCCAAGAGCACTGAACAGAGGCCCTGTGCCCTCTGCTTTCCCGAAAGCTCTGCCACTTTAGCCCAAGGCCCTTCGCTGGGGAGCCTCTCTCTGATGGCAGCATCCATGGCCCTTCCTCCTGTCCTAGCCCGCTCACCCTCGGTCTCTGGACTGCTGGAGTGTGACCGGGCAGCTCTGGTGGCCCCAGGTGTCCTCACTACCAGGAGACACACTCGGCTGCCTTAGTCATTACAGACTGTGGTTGGGACGCCCCTGGGATGTCAGCCCCGTGCCAGGGGACCTGGAGTTGGTGGCACAGCCCAGGAACCCTCCCCGCAATGAGCTCACGGTGTCTCTCTTTGGTTCTAGGGTCCACCTGGCCCCCAGGGTCCCCTCGGCTACCCAGGCCCTCGAGGAGTCAAGGTGAGTGGAATGTGTGCAGCTGCCGGTCTCTGTGGAGGTCAGGAGGGGATGGGGCCCAGCTTGGCCGGTCCTGGGGGTTCCTCGCTTGCACCCCCCTCCTGCCACCCGCAGGAGCCCAGTCCTCCAAGTCAGCGGTGGGGAGCCTGCGTTGGGTCCCTGTGGCACCAGGACGGCTGGTCTGGAGCTGGGGACAATCTCTAGCTGCTCAAGGAAGCGGGTGGTAGGCACTGGCCGTCTGTTAGAACTGTCAGGCTGTGACCCGCGTCACCAAGCCGAGGCCACTCTGTGAAGCCTCTGGCAGCCACAGTCTCGGCCGAGGCAGGGCGCTCGGCCTCTTGCCCTGGGAGCTCGGATGCATGTCCGCACCCTCACAGGGTGAGAGCCCCTTACCCCTTCTATGCCATCTGGGCAGCCAGAGCTGCTGGGGAGCCGTGGGAGGCGCGTGCCTGTTTGCTGTCGTGGTCCTGCTGCTCGAGGCGCCGGAATCTCGTTAAGTGGGGCCCAGGACTGCAAAGCAATATCCACAGCCTGCTCCCCGTGTCCCATCAGCACTAACCAGGTTTGCTCTGAGCTACGTGATTTAATCTGGAGTTACGCAGCTCATCCATATACAGAGGGATGTGTGTGGGTGAGGTCTCCTCCTCCTCCAGAGCGGAGAGAGATGTGGCAGCTCAGAGCTTAGGAAAGCTGAGGTCAGTTCTGTCCTTCAAGATAATTTTAAGCTGAAGGAGGGAAGACACACACGCATAGAACGACTCATGTAGCCTGCAGACTGCGCCAGCTGAGGGCCGGGCTCCCTGCCTCGGTCTGCAGTTTGTGGAGTTCGAACCTTGTCCAGCCTTGTTGCCTGCTGGAGCGTGCATCTGCCTGCTGGGTCCTGGGGGTCCAGAAAGCAGGACTGAAGTTCTCAGTGACCCCCGCCCCCTACACTAACCCCCACACACTGGTCAGTGCTTAGCTGCAGACTTGCGGATTCCTGATCAAGGGTCCCTTCCTGTCCCCAAGTGGTCCCAACCTCCGAGTCCCGGGAACCAGGGTGATCCAAGTTCAAGAACAGACAAGAGCGACCTTGCAGATATTGGGAGCCTTGGATGGGTCGGGCTCCCCCATAGCATGCTTTACTAGCAAAATGCCTAATGCGTTTTATAAGGATGATAATTTATCAGCCGTGCTGATTATGTGAGCCCGAAGATGCATGTTTATCTTACAAATTCCTGCCGCATAGCAAGCCGTTGGCGGTTCCCGTACATGGCTAATTGCATAAGGCTGCTTCTGCGAGCTGAAAGGTGTTTGCCTTAAAATGTTTCTGGAGAATGCTCTTATCTGTCTGTCTGATTAAAATTCACTCGTGACATGAGCAATCCGGTTAGACTTGGAAGCAGACAGTGGAAGGAAAAGCAAGGTTTGAAGCACTTCTCACTGGGGAAACAGAGCCCGGCCCCTGCAGGGCTGGGCCTGGGCCGCGTGGACATGGCAGAGCTGTGGATGGGAGCAGTGGTCCCTCTGATGCTCACCTGGGTAAGGGGGGGTGCAGTTACTGCCCACTCAGGCTGGACCTTTTCCTGAGACGCTGTCCACCTTAGTCTGTTGGGTTGTCTCCGTTACTTTCTCATGTCAGCAAGTCGAAAGAGGGGAGGGTTCTTCCGGTTCATGGTGTTGGTCCATGGTCTGCCGGCTGCAAGGCAAGACAGCATGGCAGAGGGGCCTGGGGGAGGAAAAGCTGCTCGTGTCGTGGGGGACAGGAAGCAGAGCGTCAAAGGAGGAACTGGAAAGGGAGGTAAACCCTTCTGGGTCACCCGCCTCTTCCGACCAGGCCACACCTCCTGACAGCCCCTTGGACTTTCTTGAGGGCACTGTCCCTTTTGCAAGGTCCCCCTCTCGTGGCCCAGGCCCTACCTCTTTTTCTTCCGGTGCTGGAACTGGGGCGTCAGCCCGCTCAGCGTGCACCCAGCCACACCCAGTGCCAGACCTACCTCGCGGTGCCGCCGACCATTGACCTTGTCCTGGGCGCTCCCCGTCTCGCCCTTCTGAGGGTGTCTGATTGGGTGCCGCAGTTGGCAGAGTCAGGCCTGTCCACACCGGGCCCCGGCTTTGCCCCACTACGCCTGCTCCTCACAGCCAGACAATGGAGACCGTGGTGCTTCCAGAGTCCCAGCAGCTGACCCTGCAGAGGGCGAGCCACGAAGGCCGCACCACACCCCAGTATGAGTGGTCCATGTATCTCCCTCTCCCCGGGCCGCTTCACCCCAGCTCCGGGGCAACAGCTCAGAACCGCAGCCCTGGCTGTGACATCTTCTGGCCACCAGAGGGCAGCCAACAGCCCCTAGGGCCTCTGAGGAGGCCTCTTCCGGCAGGCAGCAGCCTCAGCCTGTCAGCCAGGCTGTGCTCCAGGATGTCACCTGTGCTGGCCCAGGTGCCGGGCCGGGCATGGTGTGGGAGAGTGTTCGTGGCCCTGCCCTTAATATCACGCTTTACAGGGAGGAGAGATGAATGTCCACAATACCTCTTCCGTCAGTAATCAGTATTATAACACGCTAGCTGTCCACGCATCATCAGTGATAACGCAACAGTGCGCTGGCCTGAGCCCCCCTCAGCAGCACCTGGCATGTGCAGGGCACTGTCTCCAGGGCTTTGTGGATCTTTCCCTCCCAGCACAGACAGGAGATTAGAGCCTCGCTGGCCTCCTTTCCAGAGAAGCAAATAGCCCAGCCTGTGTCCTGGTCCGTCCCCGGATCCCCGAGGGAGGGCTGGTGTGGGAGGCTAGGTCTGCCTCCGTGGGGCGGCTCTGGAGCTCAGGGCCAAGGGCCAGGTGTGAGCTTGGGCTCTTGCACAGAGGAGGAGAGGGGATCCCCTGGGCCCAGGGATGGGACACCTGCTCCTCCTGACAGGAAACCTGTCCCAGGGGAGGTGGCTGGCCTGGGCCCGCACAGAGTTCCCGCCTGCCTGCCTGGGCCAGCGCCCCTCCCGCATGGCCCGGCCAGGCTTGCCTCGGTGACCACTGCCTTCTTTTCCTGCACAGGGGGCGGACGGCATCCGCGGGCTGAAGGGCACCAAGGGTGAGAAGGTGAGATCTGTCCCTCTCTGCCGCAGTGGGCTGGAGTTCGGGCGGCTGCTGGCTGCCGCTGCTGTAGCCAGGGTCCCATTCAGACCAGGCCCAGGCTCGACCCAGGTCATGGCGCTCCCCTTGCCGGACACTGAGCTGGGCCAGCTAACGGGATCGTACATCGCCAGAGGCAGGGGTGCCGCCCCCGACACCCGTCCGGCGTCGGTGCTGAGTGCAGGTCCATGTGGGAGCTGTGCAGGTTCTGTTCTGTAGACCCAGGCGTCCTCTCATCCCAATCCAGGGTGAAGATGGCTTCCCCGGGTTCAAAGGCGACATGGGCATCAAGGGCGATCGGGTAAGTGTTTCAAGCTTGGGTTAGGGCTGGGACAGGCCAGTGGGCTCGGGTGCCGCAGGCAGGGCAGGGGTGTTTTGAGTGACAGAGCCGCTTCTCAGAAGGGAGATCCCACCTCTGCAGGGACCCTGGTCACACGGCAGGGCAGTTAGGGGCGTGGGGACACCCGCGGTCTCTGTCCTGTGCCCCCGGCTGTCATGGGTGGGTCAGCAGGGACTCGTTATTTTCTGGCTGAGGCTGGGTTTAGAGTGCTTCACTTGACCCTTCTGACCGGGAGAGCTGATGGGAATGAGAGGTCTGGCAGACGTAAGTCCCTGTGACAGCCAGGGCCACCGCTTCCCTAGCAGGTCCTGGGGCCCCTGCCCGGGCCGCACCCTCCTGAGATCCGGGTCTCCCTGAACCCTCGCACCACCTGGCCCCCACTCAGCACTCCGGTTGCTCTTGGGCCCCTGGGGCTGCCTCTCGGGAGCATCCCCGCAGCCTGGCAGGCTCCTGGTGAATAATGGGCTTGGCGCCAGAGTGTGTGGCCCATTCCCAGAGTTTACCCAGTGGGAAGCCACGGCTACGTGTCCCATGAACAGGAGAGAAAGTGACGGTTTCCCCAGCTCAGGAGCCGAGCAGAGGCAGGTGCTGCCTCCCCTCCCCAGGTGGCGCTGCCTGCTGGCAGCTGTGCACACCTGGACAGACATCTGTCAGCCAACACAGGCCTGCTGTCCAGCCGCTGCCAAGATTTCCCTCTCCAAAGTGGGGCGGGAGGCATCTTTTCAGAACGTCCTGAACAGGGAGCTGGGACACATGGTCCTTTGTCCAAGTCTGGCAGGCAAATGGCCGGTGCACTCTGCTCTTCGTGTCTGTCGGGAGAAGGAGGCAGGGAAGGCTGTCCCCCGGTTCTGTCCCCGCTGCTACATTGCAGGTGCAGGCAGCCACTCTAGACCTCCCACCCTCCCTGGGCCTCAACAGCTCTGTGGGGAACGTCCTTGCCACCCTTCCTCTTGTGCAGCTTGATACACACATTTGGGGTCCATGTGACCAAGGCACAGGCTGCAGAGGTCACACAAAGCTCTGGGAGCAGAGCTGTGGTGCCGGGACAAGGACACAACGGAGCAGGGACGGGTCCTCGGCCCTGGGTGCAGGTGCTGCCAGTTTCCTGTTCCTGGGTGCAGAGCCTGATGCACACTCTTCAGGACAGGAAATGCTCTGCCCGCAGGGTCAGGAGCTTGTTAGTCACTGTCCCTGCTGTGCACGTTCATATGGGGCCACCCAGCTGAGAATGGATGGCCGCAGGGGCCTCACCACAGGCTTCCCAAGCCAGGCATGGTGCAGCCTCTGACCTGGCAGTCCCTGGGACCCTTCTGGTTGGGGTGGGGACACCTGCAGTTTGGGGACAGTGGAGGAAGTGGCATTTAAGCCGCCATCTCTGGCATGCATTCTCTGGTCTCTTGGGTGCCAGTGGTACTCAGGTAACTACCCAGGTGAGGCTGTGGTCCATCTTGAGCCTCCCTACCCCTCCTGCGTGTTTGGGGAGGGGCACCTCAGGGCCGTACCTGTTGAACAGGGTGATTTCAACCAAGGGGCCCTCGACTAGACAGGTAATTGGGAGGAGGAGCTGGCAGCCTGGGGACAGTGTTTGAGCTCACTGCAGAGGGACACTGTGGTGCCCAGCAGTGCCCTATGATCTAAGGGCTCCCAACAGAGACCCCAGTGCAGCCCCTTGGCTCTCGGAGACTGCATGGCCCCACGGCATCACTGCAAGAAGCTTTCAGCCCCAGGCAGTGGGGTGTCATCAGCGGAGCCTGCAGGGCTCCCCTTAGTTCCTCTTCTCTCATTGCAGGGGGAGATTGGCCCACCTGGTCCCAGAGGCGAAGATGGCCCTGAAGGCCCGAAGGGCCGTGGCGGTCCCAATGGAGACCCTGGTCCCCTGGGACCCCCTGGGGAGAAGGTTGGTGATAGCAGATACCCAGCCACCATCCAGGACCCTGAAAGGCCCTTCCTGCGGCCTTGGGTTCCCCGGCTGCTGGTGGGGCTGGCCCTGGGCGCGGACCCCATCTCCTCCTCTGGGCGATGGGCTTCGCTGAACAGATCCTTTATTGTTCTGAGTCCTACGTCCTGAGCTCTCTCCCGTGCAGAAGTGCACTTTCCTCAAGGTGGCCCCAGGCCCAGGGACCCAAGCTGCACCAGCCACACATGGGCTCCTCTGTCCTTGTCCAGTTCCTGTCATCGGGCACAGTGCCACCCCGGCCAGTGGGCGTGGTCCCAAGGAGGGAGGCTCTGCGTCCAGCCTGCTCTGCCCACTGGAGGACGCTCTGCACCCACAGGGCCACCCCCGTCCCTAGCCCTGTCTAGCTTGGTAGAAGTGGACACAAGATGGGGCCTAAGTTTCCTTCCTCCCGGGTCCCTGTGGCCAGGGCTCTTACGCGAGGCTAAGAGAAGCCCACAAAGGGAGTGCCCGTTGGACGTTCACCTGTAACGCCATCCCTTCTCCCAGGGCGTTTGTGTCTCTGTCAGAGCAGGGCCCACCAGGCCATCTTGCTCTGGAGGGCATGGAGGCTCTGCCCGGAGCACAGACGGGCCTTGCCGTGGCGACTGTCCTGCAGCCTCTGGGAATTCTGGAGAAGCGCCGCACTCACGGTGTAACGCAGTGCTTGCTCTTTCCCCAGGGCAAACTCGGAGTCCCAGGCTTACCCGGGTACCCAGGAAGACAAGGGCCGAAGGTAATTTAAGCCATGGTAGGGTCCTGGCACACGCGTGATTCCCCCACCCCGGCGCAGTCTCCTCCATTCCCCGTCCTTCGGTGGCTTCTGTGACACGCACACACACAGACGCGGTCGCTGTGGCTTCTTGTCTTTATTCGTGGCCTTTGTGTTTATTTGGCTGAGTCTGACAGTTTATCTGGCAGTGAGAGGAGCCTTAAGAGATGGGACCAGCCCCACCCGAGGGGTGGCAGCCCGGGCTGGAGGCCTGCAGTGGCTCTGTCCCCGGGTTGTCCACACCCAGAGCTCAGGGAACCGTCTCTCAGCTCTGCCCCACTCCGGAGACTGGCAGGTTATTTGCTCGAGATGGAGCTTAACAAAGAGCTGAAGCCTTTCTTGCACGCAATCATGTTGAGGTTTAAGTGAAACAGCTCCTGAAGGCTTTGGGGAACGCTGAAAACATTATTTTTTTTCAAAACTCCCATTTTATTATTCATGGTTCTTCCTTAAACAATAACCGGTTGCCTGCACTGGAGACCTGGTTAGCTACAGAGCAGCCCTGCCTGCCTCAGACTGGAATTTCCACCTTTCCACTCCTGTCCAGCCGTGGCACCTTCTAGGTCTCCAGAGCTCCGTCCTAACCCTCTTAACAGAAGGATGTGTATGTGGGAAGCACCGTCCTCTCTCCCCAGAATGTCCTCCCCCGGGGACGCTCAAGCCTGGAGAGCAGACTCTGGCTCCGTGTCTGGCACGATGCCTCAGAAGTAGCCATGACATCGCTCCCAGCTGAGCGTCTGCCACCCAAATGCTGCGTGAATGGGCTGGGGGACTTATTCCCTCGTTTTAAGTACTTGTCCCTTTGGAGAGGAGAGGAAAGAAGAGGAAGATGGGGTAGGAATCACGTTCAGGTGACTTTTGGAAGGGCAAAGTGGCACTTTAAAACTGCTCGTGTGTCCTCAGTGATCAGAAGCAGCAGTTGGCTGTCCCATATGGTGACCCATTCCGGGTGGAGCTCTGTGTCATCAGGGTTAGGTTTCCTTGGCCCAGGCTCCCACCTGGATGGGGCAGGTGGGCCTGGGAGTGTTCAGGCCGAGCTTAGCTCCCTGGGAGACATATGGGTTCGGACATGAGCAGCCTCGTCCTGGAACAAGCCCGGTGCAGACCAGCAGGCTCCACTGCCAGAGGGTGGAGCCCGCCTGGAGGCACGGGCCAGCGCCCCGGGCAGTGCCTCACTGTCACCTTCCTTCGTGTGTGTAGTAGGAGTCTGGACATTCGCCAGCCCAGGGTCTGTAGGTCCACTGTTGCCAATGTCGTGAAGATTCCTGGGGTTGAGCAGCTGTTAGCTGCCTCAGTCTGTGCGTAACCTTGCATCTATTTCTGACTTTGCAAGCTGCCACTCTTTAGTTAGAGGAGCTGTGGAAAGATCACAAACCTGGCCATGGGCCTGGTGAACAAAACATCTGAGATGTGAGGTTGGTACTGCATGCCCAGGCCAGCTGAGCAGCAGAGGGTCCCTTCCCCCACCAGATACCAGCAGTGTGTTATCGCTCGAGTGTGGGGGGGGGCGAGTTAGGGTCCAGTTGGCCTTTTACATTTGGAGTCAGAAATGCCCAGGAATTATTAATTGAGTTGATACACAGAAGAGTGTTGAGTGAGTGGGGGGGGTGGCTGTGTAGGTGGATGGATGATGGTGGATGGATGGATGATGGGTGGGTGGATGATGGTGGATGGATGGATGATGATGGATGGATGGATGGTGGATGATGGATGGATGGATGATGGTGGATGGATGGATGATGGGTGGGTGGATGATGGTGGATGGATGGATGATGGGTGGTAGATGGGTGGAGGGATGGATGATGGGTGGGTGGATGGATGGTGGATGGATGGAGGATAGGTGGCTAAATGGGTGGATGGATGGGTGGATGGGCGGGTGGATGGGTGGGTCATGAGTGGCAGGTGGCTGTGTGGGTGAATGGGTGGGTGGCGGGATGGATGGCTATAGAGCATGGCTAGGTGGGTGGATAGTGGCTGGATGGGGAGGTGGATGGTGAGTGAATGGGTAGGTGGTGAGAAGATGGGTAAATGAATGGATGGGGGTGGGTAAGTAGGTGGGTGGCAGGATGGGTGGGTGATGGCGGGTGGCGGGATGGATGGCTACAGCACAGGTGGGCAGATGGGTAAATCAGTGGGTGGGTGGAGGGAGGAGGCACCGGCAGGGTAGCTCCTGTTTTGGGTCGGCACTTGTGCCCACTCCCTCGCTAACTCTCTTTCAGGGTTCCATTGGATTCCCGGGATTCCCTGGTGCCAACGGAGAGAAGGGTGGCCGGGTAAGCAGGCGGGGCTCGGGCCCGTGATCGCTGCTGCCTGGCGTGTGGTGTGGCGGCTGGTGCTCCTGTCGGTGGCTCACTCATTGTCTCATTCATCTGCTGCCCAAAGCGCTTTCCAGCCTGGAGGATCTTAAACCCTGGCCTTCAGCTCCGAGCCCCAAGGCCAGCGATCTCCTCAGTGTCCCCTGGCACCGTGACACGGGACAGCAGGCAGGAGCAAGGCACACTGGGAAGGGAGCTTCTGGTCAACAGCACAAGCGGGGAAAGTGCTCTCGGCCATCGGCGGAGCCAGATTGCTCCCTCCCTCCTTCCTCCTTCCCTCCCTCCTTCTCTCTCCCTCTCCTCCTTTTCTCCCTCCCTCTCTCCTTTCCCTGTCTTTCTCCCTGCCTGAGATTTCCCACCAAGCTGCCTGGAAGGGAGGGAAGCAGCACCTTGTGTGTGCCTCTCCCTTGCATTTTCACGCCTCCCCGCCAGCACTGTGGAGGCGCCACTCCCTCTGCGCTAGACAGTGACAGGTGTGTTACACTTCGATTCCACCATTGTCCCCTGAATGCAGGCCTTCTGGGCTGCGCGGGGAGGGATCACCTCCAATATTCGGGGTGTCCCGCGGCCCACGCCTCCCTGTCTGAACGCTCTGGGTGCAGTCCTGGTGCCTGAGCATGCACGGCCTGTCAGGAGGCAGAGCAAGGGGCCCCGGGGGCCTTGGACTCTGACCCACCTTGCCCTCAGGCACACGGGATGAGACAGAGGCTGTCTGCGGGGGCTGCAGGACCAGGCCCCGCACCCCAGTCTGGCTCTCCCCGAGAGCAGCAGGCTGAAGGCAGCATCCCTCTTTAGGCGCAGCACAGCACTGGCTGAGACCGTGGGCAGCGGCCGTGCTCTGCTGGTCCACAGAGTGGATTGCAGGGCTGGCCTGGCCCAGGGCGTGCCGCCAACATGGGCCGCCATTGTCTCTGTCCGTGGTTCTCTGCTGTTTCGCCTTCCTCCCTCCCTCCCTTTAGGCCTCCCTCCCTCCCTCCCTTCCTTCTCTCCTTCCTTTCATCCCTCCATCATCCATCTCCTCTGTTGGTCTGTGTGTCCGTGTATGTTTTACCATCTAGCTATCAGTATCAATCAGTCTATCATCTGTCTTCTGTTATCTACCTATCGATTGTCTATTTCCTATTATCAGTCAATTATTTATCTACCTACCTGTCTTTCTTCTACCTCTTTCGTCCTGCTTGTAGAGAAGCTCTGGCTGGCGTCTGGGGAGAGGCTGTCCTCTGGAATACCCGCAGGCGCCCCTTGTAGGAAGCGGCCTGAGGCCTTGTCAGTGGGGGAACGCTGGTGTGATGGGATGCTCCACACAGGGCACCCGCTGTGCTGCGCCTAAGAGGGCCGTGACCTTCAGAGCTGGGGACGGGATGGGACCGTGGTTTTAACGTGCACCGGGGCCCCGCGGTCGAGGCCCCCCGTGGCTCACGTCCTGTGCTCCCTGTGAGCCTCACGTACCTCGGCCTCCCGCTCTGCACCCAGGCCGGGAGTTTGGACAGATGATCTGGGTGCCTGCTGGCATCAGTGTCTTGGTCATCAGACAAAACGCAAAGCCTGAGTCATGCCAAGACCTACCAGGGCCCAAAGCTGCACCTGGACAGGAGCCTGAAGGTGGTCTGTCCCCATATGGCCCTGGTCAAGGACGTTCTGTCCCCGGCACAGACTCCAGGCGAAAGGGCAAGGCTATATGCTTTCTCCGAGCGTGCGCCCGCGTGTTTCATCCTGAGAGCTGGGCTGCCGTCTTCACCTTGTCACAGTGTGCAATCTCGGGGGAAGCAGGGTGCCTCGGAGACAGAATCGCTCCCTGGGGTCGCACTGCACAAGGACAGCCATCCTGTGCTGCTTTGTGGTTGCTTTGTGTGAAGTTTGGAGAACCAGGGAAAACACGGGCGCCCTCCGGCCTGAGAGTGGGGGTGGCCTCCCGGTGTCCCCAGAAGGCTGGAGGCCGGCGTCCTCACACATGCCCCCATTCTCGTGTTGGCATCCTCGCAGCAGCTCCATCCCCAGGTCTCCTGGCCGTGAATGTCCTCCTCTGCCCTGGGCTCTGGGCTTCCTTTTGTTCGCAGGCCATCGCTTCCCTTGCAGTTGTGCATTTCTCTCCAATCCTTAGAAGTGGCCGTGCTTTGCCAGGCCCTGGGCCCCAGGTGGCCAAAGCAGGCATTCACCTATGAGAGAGGAGCCAGAGACCAGCGCCCCCAGACCGCGGGTGCAGGGTGTGAGACCCTGCTCAGGGACCGGGGACAGTGTGCAGGCCCCAGAGTCACAGCAGGGCGGCTGGGCGCTTCCTGGAGGTGGGGTGAGGCTTAAGGTGGAGGGGCAGGGAGTCCGCAGTGTGGAGTGGGGAGGGGCAGAGGCCAGGGGACCCACTGTGGGGTTTCCCGGGGGCTCCTGCACGGGGCAGGAGAGAAAGGGGCCAAGATGGCTGTTGCTTTGGCACACCTGTCAGCTGGCTTCTCCAGGTGCTGGGATGCTGGATAGGACGATGGCGAATGTATCTGCCACCCGAGCTCCTCTGTCCCCCTGAGCCTTGGTTGCTGCTGGGCTGGTGGCTGGCTTCTGCCGCCATCGGGGTTAGACCATTAAATGGTCGGGAGCTATGCTGCACCTCTGAGCCGGCTGCAGCCCAGGACGCGGGCCAGAAGAGGGACCTGCTAGGAGCTGCCCAGGACAGGGGCGCCCCCGTAGCACGCCCTGCCCAGGGAAGGGGAACCCTCGTCCCTTCTTTCCTGGAAAGGCCGGGGGGACAGGCATTTGTGGCAGCCTGTGAAGGGACATGGGCACTTCCTGTGGAACAGCTCCAGTCACCAGGATGGAAACTCGGGCTTGAATCCCTGTCCACCAGAAGCCAATAAGCAAGGTGCTGCCTGAGAGCTGGTCGGGGAGTCTGTGCCGGCACGATGTTTATCACGTGAAGGCTGCGGATGTTTCCCTAATCTTCACGTGCAAATATCAATTCGAAGCCAAAGGATATTGCCGCAGAACAAAAGCGCTGGAGCTAGAATGCATGGTTTAAAAAGCAACATGATTGACTCACATCGTAAATGGTTTTATTGAATGCATTTAGAAACGGTTAGAGCGGTTCTGATTCTGGCAGGGAACGAATGAAAGCTGGCGAGAAGACGCTCATCCCGCGGCCGTCAGCCGCACGGAGCCGGCTTGGGCTCTGTCGTTAGAGACCAGGGTGGAGCCTAGGGACCAGCCTGGATGCCATAAAGCGCCAGGCTGTGTTCGGTCCGTTCCTTCCATGTGCTGGAGGTAAACCGAATTTTCCAGCCGTTCCGTCTGTGCTTCGGGAAAAAAACACACCCCGTGCATTTGCTTTCTGTGGTTTGGAAGATGCAAAGCAGGCTTGGAAACAGGAGTCTGAATTCTACGAGAGGAGCAAATGACTCTCGGATATGTGATGTATGTGTTAAATTGCAAGTTTGCCCGTCCGCAGAGCCTGCTGAAAATTTAATGGCTAATATTCTTAACAGTAGCAGAAGTAAATTATGTATGAAAGCAGTTGACTTTCTTCTCTTTTCTTGCAATAATGGTTTCTCCCCCTGCTGAGAAAGAGGCGGGGGAAAGAGAGAGGGGGGAAGGGACAGGGAGGGAGGGATGTGGAGGAGCTTTGGGATTAACGTCCATCCCGCTGCAGGAGGAAACTTGGCTCCAGCAGGACCATGTAGGGTACTGGGCCATGTGGGGCGCTAGGCCAAGGGGGGTGCCAGGCCATGCCGTGCGCAGCTTGGCCCGATTTTCTCACTTTTCAACCCAGATGAGCCCTGGGCAGAGCTCTTCCTGGCCTTGGGCAGGATCTTCATGCCTCAGGGAGGGTGGGCTCCTGCACAGGTCTGACCCCCTCTTCTCTGCTTCTAGGGGACACCTGGAAAGCCTGGACCACGGGGACAGCGAGGCCCAACGGTAACCTGGGGCCTGAGGGCCGTCCTGGAGAGAAGGGGCACGTAGGGCAGGACAGGTGGGCTGTGGGAGCCTGGCACCTGAGCTGACCCACCCTTCTTCCTTTCCGCCCTCCCTCCCTTCCTTCCCTCTTTCCATCCATGCAGGGCCCGAGGGGTGAAAGAGGTCCACGGGGCATCACGGGGAAGCCTGGCCCCAAGGTATGTTCTTGGTCCCTCTGCAGTGACCACGTGGGCCCGAGTGTCACTGCTGAGGAGACTGGAAGCACCCGAGGGTGCTCTGTGGCCTTTTTATTTGAAAAAGGAAGGTGTCCTTCCTCAGAGGCCTGGAAGGGGAACCCCCTCCTCCAGCAGCTTCTGGAGAGCTTGAGGAACTGGAGAGGTGGCAGAACATCCCCAAACCAGGGGACACACGGACCCAGTGCCAACCACCCTGTTCTACCAGCAGAGACCCTTGCTGGGGTGATCTCTGCAGCTTCCCACTCGCCCTGCATCTCTGCAGACAAGCCCAGGGCCCCACTGTCCCCTGCCTGTCCTGTCAGAACTGCAAGGGGCCTGTGAGAAGGACCTCTGGCTGGCTAGCGGGCAGAGTGGGCTGTAGGAAAGTCTCCCTGCTGAGCTCCAGGTGCCTCCTGCCTGCCTCCCACTCCCAGTGACCCAGCGCACCCCACATCTGGGAGCATGGGGGAATGGAGCCCTGGGCCACTCGGTGCAGCCTTTGTCCATCTGCAGGAGAATGTTCTGGAAATGTCAGGGCCCTGCCCATGTCAGCTAGGGTCAGTTGTGGGTATGGGGCAGGAGGACAGGTGAACTCTGGGACTACTGGCCAGCTCAAGCTGATGTGTCCTTTCCTAAGGACAGAGCTTGAGGAGGGCGCACACAGGGACATTTTCGGGGTGTCAGACCGCAGTCTTCCCATCCACATAAGAATCACAGCAAGCTTTTCTGTCTCTCTCCCTCCCAAGGGCAACTCTGGAGGTGATGGCCCTGCCGGCCCTCCTGGTGAGCGGGTAAGCGTCCTGCCCTGGGCCCTGGGACATCTTTTGGGGCCCACTGTGACCCTGCCCAGGGGTGGGGTTCCCTGAGACCCCATGGTGGGACCTCCCAGAAGTGCAACCTTCACTGGGCTGGAGATGTCAGCCCCACCCCCAGGCCTGGTCTCAGGGTGCTGAGACACAGGAAAGTGGGTGCAGCCCCACCCCTCCCTGACGACCCTAGGACGTGGTTCTGTGACTGGCCCCCAACACCCTGGCTGGGCCTCTCACTTCTCGGGAAGGGGCAGGGGCTGGAATCATGGTGGTAGGTCGTGGGCACGGTGAGCGCTGGGCTGCTGGGGAAAGGCCCTCTGTCTCACGCCATCCTCTGTCCCCAGGGACCCAACGGACCCCAAGGACCCACGGGCTTCCCTGGACCAAAGGGTCCCCCAGTAAGTAGTGCCTTCTCGCATGGCTGGCTGCCCTGTCCTCTGGATGTGACGTCCCCCAGTGCCTGGCCTTTCCCTGAGGATTCTGGTGGGGAGGAGGCTCAGCAAGACACTGCTGGGCAGCAGGACAGTGGCAGCCCGTGGCTGTGTCCACCTGCCCGGACCTCCTGAGCCACCTGTGGGTCCCTCTTTTGTTCAGACCCCCACGATGTTCCGGTTGAGCATGTATCCAGGTCCTGGGGCTGCTATAGCAAATGGTCACAAACAGGGCGGCTTAGACCGTCTTCTGTCCTCGTCCTGGAGGCCCAGGTGTCAGTAGGCTGCTTCCCTCCTGAGGTCCTGGGGAGCCTCTGCTCTGGCCTCTCGCCTCCCAAAGCATGGGCTCCCTGCCAGTCCTCAACCCATCCTCCCGGTGCTGGCCTCCCTCTCCTCTCTGTGTCTCCCTCTGTCTCCAGCTGTCTCTGTCGAAGGACCCCAGTCACTGGCTTAGTCCCCACCCCTGCTGACTTTAACTGGTCACACTGGCAAAGTCTCTATTTCCAAGCATGCCCCCATTCTAGGTCCTGGGGAGTAGGGTTTCAGCATAACTTTCTGGGGGACGCAGCTCATTGCATAGCAGGTACAGCCTAGTTCTTCAAAGCACCCCTAAAACAGAAAGATACAAAGATACCTAACCACAGGACTTGCTGCCAGCTGGTAATGAGGCTGGAGTTGGACAGACTGGGGGCCCAAGATGGCTGGCTACAACCCACTGGACCTTAGAGTGCTGGTCTGGTGGACCTCTCCCTGCCTCTGTTTCCTCCTGGGAGAAGCACATGATAACTGCGTCCTGTAGGGTGGCTGTAGGATTCTGTAGTACAACAGGCAGGTGCCAGCGACAGCACCTGGGTTGGCTTCTCCAGGGTCCTTACCTCCATCGGCACTGTCACTGTGACTGTGTTCGGCAGAGAAGGTCACAGGGTGACAGCTCTGGAGGGAGTGATGACTTCTGTTGGAGAGTGGGGTGTCAGGTCCCACTACAGCAGGTGCCTCTCCTGAACAAAACATCTTTCCTTTGGTCCTTTCCTCAGGGTCCCCCAGGCAAGGACGGGCTCCCTGGACACCCTGGGCAGAGAGGCGAGACTGTGAGTACCCTAAGTGCTGGGGCTGGGTCTGCATGTCCTGGCCTCTTCCTTCCCTGCATGTGGGAGAGCCGTGACTGCCTGGCATGGTCTAGGGGGTCCTCCTGGCTTGGACAGACCAACCACAGCGCCCTGGGACATCTGTGGGCAGCAAGCAGGGGCTGACTTGCTATCGGTCTTAGCAACTTCAGTCAAAGGCCACATTTAGGACCCCAACCAAGCATCATCAGCTGCCAAAACCGTGCGCATGAGGCCTGGCTGGAGCTCCGTGGGCCTCAGTCGGGGAAGTACTTGTGAAGATTCTGAATTTGCAGCTGTGCCACCCTGTTACTTTAGGCTGTAAAATTTCAAGAGAGAGTGGCAGGCCTTGTGCCAACCCCAGCCATGTTCACCTGGGTGGTCCCAGGCTTGGGGCTGATGGTTGGGACTGGGTGGATGCCCCTGACACCTTCTTTAGTAGGAAGGAAGAAAGGTGCCCAGTTGCACTGAAATTTGTCCTTTCTGTAGGCACTGGCTGTGCATATGATTGTCATCTCTGCAGCCAGGCGGTGGCCTTCAGCTGTGCCCTTACCTTTAGAAATGGCGTTTCAGGTCACCATGACAGCGGGTCCCACCATCTTCGGTTAGCAGTGAAAGCATTTAGTAGGAAGGTGATCATTTCCTGACCCCCACCAAACCCCTATTTGAGGTTTGTCACACTTCACAGAAATCCTGTCCTGGGCACCAAGTGATTTTGGTTACCTGTGTGCCTTGGGGGCCCTGGGCTTGCGACAGCTGAGGCCGTGTGGTGCCAGGTGACTTCTTTGTCACCTAGCTGTGATCATTCTCTGTGTGTGCCCGCTTTGTCCAGCATAAAGGATGATTTGCACCGAGCTTTGTAAGCGTTTCCCACTGGGCAGAGCGGCAGCCACGCAGGGATGGCAGAAAGGTTCTTTGTCTCCACAGCCAGCTTGCATGTACCGGAAGGTCTGGGAAGGCCTCCCCCGGCCCAGGCTGGCCCTGCGTGAAACGGGTCTTTGAATGCCGTAGCTGATGATATGATCTTGCTGTCTGCTTTAGAAAAATCCCTCCTGTCTCTCTTTGGTGGCTCGTGCTGAAACCCTTTTAATTATGCCTTCTCTGGGGCTCTGCACAGCCCGTGCTGGCTGATAAATGGAGATTACAGAACCCTTTTGTTCACAGAGAAAAATTAAAATGTTTCTTCCAGGCTTTGCACATTTTTCTCTCATACCTTCCCAAGGAGAGGAGGTTTGGCATACTGCGTACTTTTCACTCGCCGTCTTAGTCTGGAAAGAGGCCCCTAAAATAATTAGGGAAGGCGCCATTTCTGGTGGCTCATGCCGTGCTGACCGCCTCCTTGGACATGGTTGGGACCGTGCTTTTCCCTGGGTGTTGGCTTAATCTTTATTTAAATGGAAACACAAGCTTTTATCCCCCTTCCCGAGTGTGAGCTTGTAGCCCATCTCCCAGCGAGCAGCTGAAGGCAGAGTCCGTCTCATCAGCCAGGGACAGTCCCTGAGTCACTGTGGACCAGATGGCCAGGCCTTCGCTGCCTCCGTTGTTAGCACTGACGTTCACGCACCTTCACTGGACTTTCCTCCATCTCCGCTTGCTTCTGAGTGGGAAAGTGCAGGCTTCCGAGAGCACCGTGTTACTCGTGGCCAGTGTGGCCCGGTGCATGCAGCCGAACTGGGCTCAAAGAACAGAACCCTCCTGGGCTCCTCAGAGACCTGGCCTGCAGAGTCTGAGTTAAAAATAATACCTGTGAGCCGCTGGCTGTGAGAGCCCAGGGCCGGCTCCCGCCTGTCCTACACGCACAGAGGGTAGCAAGTTGGTGGTTCTCCTGGCATGTGTGAGCAGCATCCGTGACAAAATCAGGAGAGCCCCACAAAGTCACTAATGAGAACAGCCCGGAGGTGGCTCCCACGTCACCTCAGGAAATGAACACTTCGTGACCTGAGCCGGCTCATGTGCACAGGAGCGCAGCATGGAGCCAGCCCATCTGGCCTCGTGACTTCCACACAGTTAACACGGGGAGGGAAGAACTTCCATGCAGTTAATGCAGGGCTTCTCTGATGAAATCATCAGCACCGTCGTTCGGGGACAGGGCAGGAAGGGGACCAGGCCTTCCGAGGAGGGTGGCGAGGGTGGCGAGGCAGCTTCCGCAACCCCAGCCTGCTCTCTCTCTCCACAGGGCTTCCAAGGCAAGACCGGGCCCCCGGGGCCCCCAGGTGTGGTTGGCCCTCAGGTGAGACCCGGCACCCCAGGGTTCTGTGCTTCAGGTATCTGCACCATGCGGGAGGGAGAATACGGCTTGGGGCCCGTGTTCCCCGGTTCTGAGGGAGGAGAAGCTGTGGGCAGGGAGGGTAACCCTGTAAGGGGCATTAGCAGCAGCTGTGCAGGGATCATGCTGAGGGGAGGAGTGTTTTATGCCACAGGAGACTGGGTGTGGCCTCCCGGGGCAGGGTCAGCTGCGGCCGCTTGCCCTTTTTGCAGTGTCCATGATAGCCAAGTCCACTGGTTCTTGCCAGCACCCTGCGCCACCCATGCCAGTCCTAGGGGTCAGTGGGAAGAGTAGCTTCTGCCCAGGCTGGGGGTCAGGGCAGCCAAATGGGCAGTGATCAACTTGCCAACTCAGAACTGAAGGACAGCAGGCTCCTGGCCCGCGGTGGCTATCTCCACACAGCCGATGCGGCACAGGGCCAGCAGTGGGCACTGAAGGTGTCCGCCCAGCTGGCTTTTGGCTGGAAGGAACAGGCCTGTAGAGGAATGTGGGGGCGTGGTGGCCCATGGTGGCACTGTGCCTGGGGCTTGGGGTGTCCTTAGACCCAGGACACTGCCCCTCCCTGCAAGTCACTGGGAAATGACCGGTCGCTGATGCTGGTTTTCTACCCAGGGTCCTACGGGAGAAACAGGCCCAATGGGCGAACGTGGCCATCCTGGGCCTCCCGGCCCTCCTGGTGAACAGGGACTCCCAGGCCTTGCCGGCAAAGAAGGGACGAAGGTGAGTCTCTGGCAGTTTCCATGTCAAGCTGCCCTTCCCTAAGGAATCCTTTAGGACCTCTGCCTTCTCCTGCTCCTCTCGGATGCGTAGGTAACCTCTCAGGCTAGTCTCATCATGAATTCATCTTTGCTCCAGTGGAGCCAGGGCTTGAGCCAACCTGGTCAGGGACAGCGTGTAGAGGGGCAAGGATCAAAGCCACACAGCCTCTGTGGGGAGCCCTGTCCCCAGCCGCCTGCCTGCTCCCAGAAATGGATAAAACGCTATCATGCTTGGGACATCCAAGACGGATCTGGTAGAAAGCAATGCTTTAAAAATCCCCCACCAGGAGAGGCGTAAAGGAAATTCTAGCAGTGAAAAGGAACGTGTTTCCCCCTTGCTCTTAGTGCTGTGCTCACGGCCCTGGTTTCATAGCCTCTGCAGGGAGCCCGGGGCCGAGGGTGGGCGTCTCCACTGCCTCTGTTCGTGCAGAAGCAGGTCAGCAGCCTTTCCCGGTCTGCCTCGCAGCTCTCTAGCCTTTCAGGTGCTGGCCGTGCTCAGGAACAACCTAGAAAGCGGTAAAACTGAGAAAGAAATAGGAAAACCACACATACCGTGAATAAATGCGTCTGAGCACATGTGCGTATGAACCGATCTGTCCCAGACACGGAGCTCCCTGAGTTTGGAAAAGGAGGTCAAGGGCATTGCAGACCCTGTCGTCTTACATGGGCTCAGGAAAAGTCCAAAACGTATTGTAGCTTTAAGGTACCACAGGAGGAGCACAGCCCCAAGGGTGCCTCTTTTCAGACAGTGTGGCTTGCGGCTCAAAGAGGCAAGGGCTTCGAGTTCAGACCCCACTTAGAGAAGTGCTTTCAGCCATGTCTGCCGCAGGTTCCTTGAGCTAAGCGCACCTTTGCCTTTGTGACCGGCCCCCAATATACGGGAAAGGGAGCAGCAGCCCCAGCTCCTGCCCAGCCCGTGGTAGTCCTGCAGAATTTGAGGGGCCTGAGTCTGTTCCCCATATTTGTGCAGAACTAGCCCAGGGGGTACAGTGTGTGCCCGGCCCTGTGTTCCATCCCCAGCACCAAAACAGACGAACAAAAACCCAAAGCCAAGAGTTCCTTTGAAGGCCAAGGGGCTGGGGACCCCCTGTCCAGCACCCAGAAGCCGGGGAGCGGGGTGTGGCAGGGAACAGCATGTCTCTGCTCTGTTTCTAGGGCGACCCAGGCCCGGCTGGCCTCCCTGGGAAGGACGGCCCCCCAGGCTTACGCGGCTTCCCTGGGGACCGAGGGCTCCCTGGTCCGGTGGTAAGTGAGAAGCCAGGTGCGGGGACTGCGGAGGGTCAGCGCATGGCCCAGGGTTCTTCCCGTGGTGCCCTCAACCACATCTCCTACTTCACAGGGAGCCCTTGGGCTGAAAGGCAATGAAGGCCCCCCAGGCCCGCCGGGCCCCGCGGTGAGTCCAAGCCTTCTGTCTCATCCCTTCTAAACAAGCCAGGGGTCCCAGAGCCCGAAGGGCGTGTGCAGGGGACAGGGTGGAGAAGGGTTGCAGGCTGTGTCCCCAAGCCAGCGGCAGGGATGCGGAGGGTCCTGGGGTGCATGTATGTGGGGCAGCAGGCAGAGTGGAGGGGTGGCACAGTCTCACATGCCAGGCGCCCTCCCTGGGGAGCAAGGAGGCGGCCCCCTGGGGGACGGCACAGACCTCGTGGGTTCTGGGGAAGCATCCTCCACGTCACTGGCCTCTTCCCTTGGAGAGTGACAGTTCACTTGAGAGGCGGCAAGGAAGCTGGGTGTCCCACCACTAGGCTGGGTGTCCCCAGCTGCAAAGTCTGCACTTCGGGGAGCATAGTGGGCAGTGAGTGCCTGAAGGCAGGCAGACCCCAGGCGGAAAGGGGGTGCCAGGCCTGGGGAGACCACTGCAGACAGGCGCGCGAGGAGGCCCTTCCCGACACTGGGGTGAGATGGCGTTGTGAGGGGCGCACTCACAGGGGGTTGATGACGAGGGCCTCAGGGCGAGACGTACGGTCACGGAGCCACTGAGGGCAAGACGTATGGTCACAGGGAGCCACCGAGGGCTCTGGAGAGGAGCTGCGTAACTGGTGCTCTCAGCAGCTCTTGGCCCTGCAGTTGCAGAGCCTTGGAGTCTGAGTGCTTTCTTGCCCCTCACTCAGGGGTCTCCCGGGGAGAGAGGTCCTGCTGGTGCTGCTGGGCCCATCGGCATTCCAGGGCGACCCGGGCCTCAGGGACCGCCAGGGCCGGCTGGAGAGAAAGGGGCTCCGGTGAGTATGGAGTCGGGGCAGGGAGCCCTCTGGGTGGAGGTGCTGGTCCCCTTGGTGTCTGGCAGGCGTTTCTGGGGCTCTGGCTGACTGACCTCAGGCCAGATGATGACAGATGACCGAGGGTCCCAGCGTGGGCCCGGCCTGCCACACCCATACAGTGGGGCCCGGCTCCCCGTACCTGTCCGGCCGTGAGTGTGGACGGCCACACCTATGTGACCACCCTCCCCACAACCCACACTGTGGCGGTCCTCCCTATAACGCCACCCTCCCTATAACGCCCTCCCCATCACCGCTATGTGACCACCCTCCCCGCAGCCCCTTGGGCCAAGGTGATGCTTGCAAGGTGGCCCTGGCCCATTGATGTGGGCACAGGTGCAGAGAGGGAGGGAGACAGGGTTCGGGAGCCTCCGCTCTGAGGCTCTGAGGATTCACAGGAGGAGACCTGGCCAGCAGCCACCTGATCGCCTAGGTCTCCATGAATCTCCGAATGTGGCCCTTCCTCCTGGATGTGTCCCCCAAGGCAGCCTGGGAGGCCCTCCCAGAGTCACCCCCAAGTGCAGCCTGCTGTCTAAAAGCGTGCACACCCCAATCGCATCTGATCCTGACCACACCAACCCAGCCGCGTCTGACCCCCAGGCCCGACCCAGACCCTTTCTGCTTCCGCCATGTAGCTTCTGACGCCCGCCCCCCAGCGCTGCCTTCGCAGAGTTCAAACACCACTTCCACTCTAGGCCCTGTCTCAGTTCAGGCGTCAGCCGGGAGGGGGTGGATTTGGCCGCATGCCGGAGCGCAGTGTCACTTCCTATGTGTTGGGTGCTCAGTGACTCACTGGTGAAGAGACACCCAGTTCCTTCCCTGAGCAGCAGGTCCTGTGTTGGGGACACCCCTGAGAAGCCCTTCCCATGCTCTGGGCGATCCCAGTGGCCTCCTACGGTTCCCAGCGAGGCAGCCAGGCACCCGTCCCTTGGGTTCTGTGCCTGGGAATCCAGAGCGCTCAGGCCTTCAATAGACGCGGAAATGGCAGGCTTGGTTGGAGTCTGTCTGGGTCCTCATTTCAAGCCAGTAAATATTTAAGCAGAAACCATACAAGAGCTGTGCTACCCAGAGCAGCTGCAGAAGGACAGAAAGGTTAGGATACCCGGCCCAACGGTTGTGTGGGACGGAAGCTGCCCCGGCAGCCCTGGCAGTTTCTGGCTTCCATAGTGCAGACGTTTGCATCAATAGGAGCTGAACCAGAGGCATGGGGACTGAAGGACTCAGGTGGAGAGGGTAGGACAGGGTGGTGGCACCTGACCCGCCGCTGGCCGTGCTCAGAGCAAACGCTAAGTGTGCGTTTCCGTCCCTGCCCCCTCCCAGCTGTGCGGCTCTGTCCGTGTGTGTCAGGGGAGGGGACGGCTGGCTGGACGCATCCTTGCTGGGTGATGGTGTGGCTGGTAACACTGAGTGTAGGGAGGACTTGCAGCATGATGGGAGATCACGGGCGGGGGGTGAATAGTCACGGAGATGGCGGACATAAGGGGCTCTGGTGTGCATGAACTGACGTGTGTGCACACCTTTGCATGTATTCTGCACATGTGCTTGGGTGTGTGTTACCTGTGTATGTAACGGTGTATATCTGTGCCCGTTCGTGTACATGGGTGTGATGCTTGTGCTTACATGAATTCCTATGTGTGCAGGTGTGTGTGTGTAGTTAAGGACACACGTGGGTCTGCCTGTACAGACGTGTCCATGTGCTTGTTTGTACTCATGTGCATATGCGTGTGCATGTATGTGTGTGTGTGTAGACAGGGTGTTCACACAGCACTGTGATAAAGTCAGTGCAACTGGAGCGTAGGCCATTGCAGTCACTGCTGGGCTCCGGGTCGCTTGCTCCAAGGGCCCTGCACACAGGCTGGAATGCGGAGGCTGAACTGGCGTCCTGGCTCTCCTGTTTGCTGACCATGCCTCCGTTTCCTCCTGTGTGACGAGCAGCCCTTGCTAACGCGTGTGGGTGAAATGCCGTGGTGCACCAGCCGCTTGCGGTGCAGGGCAGGGCAGGATTAGTCCTCAGTGTTCCCGGCTGATGCCCGGCTTCCTGCCCACGGAAGGAGGAGTGGTGAGCTAGTGGGGAGTGTCCCCACGACCAAGCCTCAGTTGACCAGGGCTCTTCTATGCTCTCTAGGGCGAGAAAGGCCCACAAGGCCCGGCTGGCCGAGATGGGCTCCAGGGTCCCGTGGGGCTTCCGGGTCCGGCTGGCCCCGTGGGTCCCCCCGGCGAAGATGGAGATAAGGTAAGGAGGCCGTGGGGCTGGCGAGGGAGGCGGGAGCCTTAGACAGTAGGATGCGCACAGGCAGAGGGGAGCCTGCTTCGCTGCAGTCCTGGTGCTCACAGCACGGGAAGGAGCAGCAGTGAGCCAGCTCTCTGGCCTGCTCCAGGGAGCTCGGAAACCACGCTGCTCTGGTGCTCTCGGTGACGCCCAGGCCTGGGGCTGTCTGCGGCCAGAGAAGAGAACCGTGCTCTCTGCTCCCTTCTAAATCATTTCAAATTCTGCCTCTGCGGAGCTGGATTTAATGAGGTTTTACTCAGTATCTATCTTTAAATGTCTTCCGTCCAATTACCAAGGCTCTGTGTCATTAGGAGTGCACTTTATAGTCTGACGCCGTTACTACCGAGCTTGTATTTTAGACAACATTTAATGAAGACAGTGAGACTTAGCTCTCGGCTTAACCTTCTCTCATGACAACTGTCTGGTGTCCTCTCTGACCGACTGGGTCACCTCTCCAGGTGGGAGTTTTAACCCTGAGGAGGTTTTAACACCTGCGTGGGGAGCACAGTGGCCGCGCTGCCCCTTGCTGGGCCGCAGTGCCGGGTCCCGTCTGCAGAGCGCAGCGGACGTTTCCAGGCCGACTTCTCCACCTCGTCCTGCCAGCGAGCGTCCTGTATAGCGTCAGATCTGTACCTCGGGCTTCCTCACCCCTGTACCTGAAAGGAAATCAAATAAACCGAAGGGAACATTTCTTAGGGAGGTCACAGTCCTCTTCAAAAGGCTGTTTGTGTCCAAGAAAAAGTAGCTGTGGCATGTGGGGCACACAGTTGCCCTGTGCCTGACAGTGTCCTTCTCCTCTGCCCCCAGGGAGAGATCGGGGAGCCGGGACAGAAGGGAAGCAAGGGAGACAAAGGCGAGCAGGTAGGAGTGCGCGGGGGAGCGGGGTGGCTGTGAGGCTTGGGTGACGCTCTGCAGTCAGCCTGGCTGTGCGTCCCCGCCCTGCTGTGGCCAACTCCGTGTCTTCCTAGTAAAGGCCCAGGTGCGTGTGTGTACATGAGTCACATGTTTGGGGACTGACCCAGATGTGTCACCCCCTGCCCTGAGCAGTCACCCCTCAGGGACTCCACCACCCCTGTAACTCAGGAAGCAACCTGCATCTCTGTTTGTTCCCACAGGGACCCCCTGGGCCCACGGGTCCTCAAGGCCCCATTGGACAGCCAGGCCCCTCTGTGAGTACCTCTACCCCAGCGAGACCCTAGCGAGACCCGGCCCCTCAAGCTGCTGCTGGGCCTCACCCATGCCCAATTCTGTCCCTGCAGGGTGCAGACGGGGAGCCGGGCCCCCGTGGCCAGCAAGGCCTCTTTGGGCAGAAAGGAGACGAAGGTTCCAGAGGTTTCCCTGGGCCACCAGGGCCCGTGGGGCTCCAGGTAACTGCAGGGTGTTCACAGGTTGGGGGCTGCTGCAGAGGCACCCCTATTTTGCTGGGCCAGCTACACCTATCTTTTAAGGGTGGGGAAACAGGCTGGGCGGCAGGAATCAGAAGTGGCACAGCTCTCGGGTCCAGACACGCCCCTGAGTCTGCACGTGCCACCTAGAATCGGGAAATGCAGTCAGCTGTAAGGAAAGGAAACACGTCCACCTCTAGACGCACCACCTAGGAAGCACAGCTGTCCGTACCGCGAGCTCGCTTTGCCCGTTACACGCACGCGGTCACACGGGCGTGTAGGTGATGGTGTGTGGTGTTTGCGAACTCCAAACCCTGTCGTATACCGGAGAGACACTTTGTACCCAGCCTTTCCTTTCGTATTACAGTGCAGTGAATGTCATTAGACACTGTCTGGACCCATGACTGTTTACTCAGGAAGACACAATTTTTAGTGACTACGTAGCATTTCGGCATATGGTGGAGACATAACTTCTCCAGACGTCTCCCGGCTGCTGGCTCATTACGTTTATTGTTTTATGGGGCACTGCCATAAACCCCATTGTCCATAAATCTTTACACATTTCTCTAATTATTTCCTGCAGCCAATTCTGAGCCTAGAATGGTGGCGTGTTCCCGTGCTAGGACAGACTTGTGACTTGTGGAAGCTCCTGAGGGCCTCCACGGCATCTCGGAGGTGGAGCTGGCCGTGTGTGTGGGTTTCCCAGAGCAGCACCTAACTGCGCTCTCCTGTTTGCAGGGCCTGCCGGGACCTGCGGGCGAAAAGGGCGAGACAGGAGACGTGGGCCAGATGGTAAGTGTGGCCAGGCCACAAGGCCCGGCCGTGGCCGCTGGTTTATATGTTGGGGGAGTTTGCCTTTCCCCTGGGCTCATGGCCTCTCCTCCTAGGGCCCGCCCGGTCCCCCTGGCCCCCGAGGACCGTCTGGAGCTCCAGGTGCTGACGGGCCTCAAGGTCCCCCAGGTGGAATCGGGAACCCCGGTGCCGTGGGTGAGAAGGTGAGGCCTCCACCATGAAGCCGCCAGCGTGTGACTGCAGAAAGTGGGCGTGCGTGCGTGTGTTGTGTGCGTGCACCTGGGTACAAACTTGTGTGCCCATGTGTACACTGTGTACGTGTGTATGCCTGGGCCCCTGTGCACACTGTGTGCACCTGTGTCTACGTGCGCAGTCCTGTGCGTGCGAAGACACACGAGGACAAATTCCGCCCATGCGTTTTGCAACTGAGAAGCAGATATTCCTGCGCTGGAATCAGGGTCTCTGGCTGTGTGCATTGCGACGGCCGTTAGCAGAACCCCACCCCAGCTGAACCTTGGGGTCCCCGCTGCCTCCTTGAGGGGCCATGGGGGCCCAGCCTGCAGCCTCTGCTCAAGCTGGTCCTGGTCTTTTCATGGCTCTCACTCAGCAATCTGCGAGATTACAGAGCGTGGGCCCTGGAGGCCGCTGAGGGTGCAGGACGGGCCTGTGCCCGCGCACAGGTGTGTGTGTGCGCTCACGGGTGTGCGTGTGTGTGCTGGGCGTGGCACGGAGGTCTGAGTCCCCGTCACTGCCAGAGCGCACCCGCGAGGGAAGGAGGATGCATCCAGGCTGCTGGGTTCCCTGCGAGTGCGGGGCTCTGACGCTAACGGGAGCTGCTCAACTCGCAAAGGGGGACTGGAGAGAAACTCCGGGGGGGCCTCAGCCCCACACCCCCATCCCATCAGCTGTGCCCTTCATTCACTGCCCCCGGCTAGCCTGTGTTCCCGAGGGTGCCAGCCCCTTCACCAAGCTTGGCACAATCCCCCCACCTGTGCCTGCACAGAACGGTGTCCCTTCACCAGTGTCCCTCCTCCCTGCACCCTTCAAATGCCCTCGCCCCGTCCCCTTCCTTATGGCCCTGCCCTGCAGTCCCGAGAGTTACCCAGAGACAGTGACCACCTGGCCCCGGGGAGGGCAGCAGGCTGATTTGGGCAGTGCCGGTGGCTGGAGCAGCTGTCCCTGTCCCTGTGGTGACCTCTGGTGACACCAGCCTTGTCTTCCCAGGGGGAGCCTGGCGAAGCTGGCGAGCCTGGCCTTCCCGGAGAAGGGGGTCCTCTGGTGAGTGTGTGGGCTCCGGGGGCGGTTGGGTCCCAGCAGGGCACCAATGTGGCCGATCGAAAGCTCACCCGATCACCTGTACCTCAGCACCGCTTTCTGTGAAGGGGATGCTCTAAACCCCTGCTGTGCAGACCGAGGCCACAGAAGTGTGGTCTGAGGAAGATGTGTGACTGGGGCCTGGGCGTGCCTGCACACTCAGGGCCTCTCACTGCTCTCACTGCGTGTGAGGGTGACTCGTGCTGCCCAGTGCAGAGCGGAACCTCACTGTACAGGGTCCCAGAAGACCAGGGGCTCCTTGCCTGGAAGGCTGTTCAGGGTAGCACCCGCAGGAAGTGAGAGTGGGGGCCTCCCTGGCCCTCACTGTCCCCATGGGCTCGGCCAGTGCTCCCCATAGGAGAGAGCCCAGCAAGGCCCCGTTAGGCGAGTTTGTGGGAGCTCTGAGACCTGACCTTTCCTCCTCCCCTCCAGGGACCCAAAGGAGAAAGAGGAGAGAAGGGAGAGGCTGGCCCCTCGGGAGCTGCCGGACCCCCTGGACCCAAAGGCCCTCCCGGAGATGACGGCCCCAAGGGCAGCCCTGTGAGTAATGCCTTGGGTGGCAGGGCGTGGCGGGGTCCCTGCGCCCAGGTCATTCCCGCTTGGTGGTGGTAGTGCAGTCCGCTGGGGCATGGGCTGGGGGTGCTTTCCCAGGCTGAAGGGGTTCCCACAGCAACCCTGGACCAAGCTAGGGGAGGTGCAGAAGAGGAGGCGGGAGCAGCCGTGAGACGCTTCTCCTCAGGCTTGCAAGGGCAGGGGCCAGGTCATCATGCCCACCTCTGGCCTGCCTGGGCTCTGCAGCAGGAGCTTCCTAGAGCCCCGCATTTGGAAGCCTGGCGCACAGGCTGTGGCCCCAGCTGGGGCTTCCAGGATGTGTGCATGGGCGGGATGCTCAGGAAAGGGCTTTCTGGTGGAAGGGGCTTTGAGTACAGACTGCCCCAGGTGGTGGCAGGTGTTGTCCCAAGGCAGTGCTGGGCGGGTAGGATGTGGTCACGCTGCTCACGGCCCAGGCCTGTCCCTCTCTCTGCTTTCCAGGGCCCAGTGGGTTTTCCTGGCGATCCTGGCCCCCCTGGAGAGCCTGGCCCCGCGGTAGGTACTAGAGAGGGCCACCAGAGCCCCATCCCTCAGCCCCTGCTTCCTGTTGCTGGCCCCGTCTCTTCCTCTCTTCCTGCTGTTTCTTCTGGATGAGTTCTCTTCCAGGTGCAGCGCTTTCCCCGCCATGCACCCCATGTCTGGGCCCAGTGCCTGACCCGGACATGTCCATCTTTGGGGAGGGCCTGAGGATGAGCTGGGGGCTGGAGTGAACACAGGGTCTGGTCTGGGAGGCCGGAAGGAACTTGCTTTGTTTCCCCCAGGGTCAAGATGGTCCCCCTGGTGACAAAGGAGATGATGGTGAACCTGGACAGACGGTGAGCCCCTGTGTGACACCCTCCCTGGGGAGCATCTGTGCATCTTGGGGTTTTGCAGCTGGCTTGGTTCCCTTACAATGGTGACTCCTGCCAGTGGCTGGGCTTCGTGAGTGCCCTGAGGTCTGCTGAAAGCTGTGGGCAGACAGAGAAAAGAAAGCATGTCCAGTGCTAGCAGTGGCTTTGTGTGTGGCTCTGGAGGTTTGCCCCTAGCCCCCCAAAACTCTCGAGTGTCAGACTGGCCCATGTGGCTACCTGGGGGGCCTCAGGCCCTGCCTCAAGACAGAGCGCGTGGCACACGACGCGTCTCCCACTCAATGTGGACACTGATCATTCCAAGGGGCCCCGCAGCAGTGCCCTGCTTGGAAACAACCCTTGACTCTTGGGGTCTCCTTGCCCTGCACCCAGGTTGCAGGGGAAGTTGCTGACTATCTTGGTCTTTTTTCTGCTGCTGTAACAAAAGGCCATGGGCAGCATAAATTATAGACAGCAGTTTTCATGGCCCATGTCCATGGAGGCCAGCAAGCCCAAGATTGAGGGGCTATAATGTGGCAGGAGGTAAGGGGGCGAGGTAGGAAGTGGACTGTGTCCCCCTACATCCCACTCACCCCCTCAATAATGGCCTTGGTCAGCTCCTGAGGCAGAACTTGTGCCTCCTGAGCCCATCACAAAGCCTTGCTTCTTCATTCTGTCACCACGGACTGGAATTCAGGCCAAAGCACGGATCCCAGGCCATGAGCCCCATGCCATTACCCAGAATGCACCTGGGTACCAGGCAAGGGCCTGGGACACCAGCTCTGGGGCCAGGGTCCCTGGTGGCTGTTCCTGGCTCCCCACCACCTGGCCTGCAGCCTCAGTGTGTTCCCACCTCTGTCACTGGCAACGCTAACAACGGCTCCTTGTGGGGAACTTGGGGGTAAGGAGCCAGTCACTATGTGAAAGAGCAAGGGCCCTGCAAAAGGTGCCCTGCGCAGGACGTGATCCAAGTTCACGGCCGGGCCATTGCCCGGGCACAGCATGGCCGCTTCAGGACCTCATGCAGGACCAGCCAGGACACTCAGAGAGGCTGTGCAAGCCAAGACTGAGCTGAGCCTCTGCACCTCCTTAGTGAGTCTCCATCCTGCAGACCCGATTGTTAACTGCTGTTTCTCCACCCCAGGGATCCCCGGGCCCCACTGGCGAGCCTGGTCCGTCCGGGCCCCCGGGAAAGCGGGTGAGTTGGCCCATGAACACCCCGTGACAAAGCCCCCTGCCCCTTGCAGGCCCTGGGTGCCTCCCCCATCTGAGGGAGGAGACGCTGCATTGGCTGGGCACTCCCCTGGGTTTCTACCTTGGCACCTGTGCCAGGCCTGTGGGCCCCACGCTATCCTAGATCCATCACCAGCGAGCACCCACTGAGCAGATGCTCCTCTCCCTGGGCCAGGCCCCCGAAAAGTCAGAAGGGTCAGGAGACCTTTGCATCCTGAATCCTCCGGTCGCTGGCTAGAGTTGCCCCCGTGGGAACACTTGGTGCCCGGCCAGAAGGGGCAGCACTCCAGCACGCAGGCGGCGAGCACGTTGCCCACGCGGCCGCAGAGCCTGGCTGGTGCCCGGGGTCCTGGGACTCAGGGTGCTCCGAGGCCTTCATCCACACTGGCTGATTCCCGGAGGCCTCTTGCCCGCCACCCCTGCCGGACCCCGCCTTTGTCCGCACCCCTCCCTGGTTTTCTGAGCTCACCGTCTGGCTTCTCTTTTGTTCCAGGGCCCCCCAGGCCCCGCGGGCCCCGAAGGCAGACAGGGGGAGAAAGGAGCCAAGGTGAGTGCTGCTCAGCCAGCCCACGGCCGTGCGAGCCCCTCAGGAGGGCCAGGGCTGCTGGGAGAGGGAAGGGGGGCTGCCCTGGTCCTGGCGAAGGGGCTGTGGGTGGTGGTCTGGGAAAGCGGGGTCCATCATCACGGCCGGCAAAGCTGAGGGTGCAGGATTCAGGGACCCTGAAACTTCCGATGTGGGTGGCCTTTGACCTCTGATGCAGCGGGGGCTGAGGAGGCCAGGCAGAGTGTGGCCCTGGTGGTCAGCAGCCTGGTAGTGGTTGGCGTGATTAGCAAGATAAGATTAGCAGGTGGAGTGTTGGCTGGGGCAGCATGCTAGGGAGGGTGGGTGCCAGGGCAGCCTGGGTATCTGGGCCATCTCAGCGGGGGTCCTGCCTGGGCCAGGTGCGCGGAACCCCCAAGCATGTGATCCACCCTCTCTCCAGGGAGAAGCTGGCTTGGAAGGCCCTCCTGGGAAGACTGGCCCCATTGGCCCACAGGGGGCCCCTGGGAAGCCTGGGCCCGACGGCCTGCGCGGGATCCCCGGCCCCGTGGTAAGGGGGCCAGGCAGGCCTGGGAGGAGGTGGAGGAGGTGGAGGCCGGGGAGCAGGGCCGGGGTAGGGGATCACGCCGAGGGTCTCTGTTTCAGGGCGAGCAGGGTCTCCCTGGATCCCCAGGCCCAGATGGGCCACCCGGCCCCATGGTAAGTGACATCCCTGGGGCTTTGTGAGGGGCGGTCGGCCCTGGAAACCCCTGGGACTCCGGCTTTGATCCCTCTGCCTCCTCTGCAGGGTCCCCCAGGACTCCCCGGCCTCAAAGGAGATTCTGGACCCAAAGGTGAAAAGGTGAGTGGGGCTGTTGGCCCCCAAGCTCTGCAAGCTGTTGATCTGCAGCCTGAAGTACCCACAGCACCCAGAACTTCCCACTGGGCCTGAGGTCCCAGCGAGGGCCGGGGGGACCCAAGAGCAGTCCTTGCTCTGCACCCAGGGCCCCATCCCCCACAGGCTGCACCGGAGCTCTGTGGGGGCAAAGCCCTGCGTGTTATTAATTAGTGCTGATTTTTTTCCCTGCTTCTATTGATTTCTTTACAAACATTGGATGAGCTGGACAGCCATGCCTGGAGGAGGCCTCTAAGCCTCACTGTCCTCCTAGCTGGGACCTCACCAGCCCTGCCCGGGCCCAATGCAGCAGAGGCTGGGGACCCTCGGAGCTTCCTGTGGGCGCTTGTGAAACAAGCACCGAGAGCAGGGCTGTGGGGCTTTCTCGGTGAAGACAGAATGGATGATCATCGCAGTTCACTCAGCCTCTGCCCGGCACCAGTGCCTCATGCCTGCCTTTTCCAACAGGGTCACCCAGGCCTGATCGGACTCATCGGCCCACCCGGAGAGCAGGGTGAAAAGGGTGACCGAGGTCTCCCGGGGCCCCAGGGCTCCTCTGGCCCTAAAGGAGAGCAGGTGCGTCAGCTGGCACTGCCCAGGGAGCGTCTCTCCTACCACAGCACCCAGGGGACCGATGGGAACCAGTGGGCACTCGGGCTGGCCCAGGTCCCCCACCCCCATCCTGCACCCTGCGTGGGGGTAGATGCTCGCTCTTCGCCCTGGTGGCCCTCAAGGCTAGAGGGACTCAGCAGCCAGATCTGTCCCCCACCTGCTCCGCTGGCCAGAGCCCATGACCCAGCTTGCTGCTCAGAAGTCTCAGGCCGCTGACAGCCGTGCCCACCTGTCTCGGGACAGAGCAGTGGCCCCCTGTGCCCCGCACTCCCTGGCCAAGGCCCATGCAGACCCCGCACTTCCCCAGGACCCACTGAGGCTGCCTGGGGCCGGCAGCCCCATCCTGCAACTTCCAGCGGCTGGGACGAGGCCCCAGGAGGGCAGGGCGGAGGGAGCCGGGGCCCGGGAAGGGGTGATGCACAGCACAGAGAGACACGTGTGACTTCACGCTGCCCTGGGTGGGGCGAGGGTGCTCATCTCACTGTGGCAGTGTCCCCTTCCCAAGCCCCCTGGGCCCAGAGATGATGGGTTAGGACAGAGCAGGTGACCACAGAAGCCCTGGGGCTGTGAGTGCATAGAGCCCGAGGCCTTGACTGCACTCCTGGACCCAGGCGGCTCTGTGCCTTGTGGCTCAGTGACTATATAAGAATTAGACACCAAGGATCCCCACTGCCAAAGGAAACTCCCCTCTCTGTACCCCTGTCCCCTCCCATGTTCGGCTCCAAACTGTCATCCAGGCCACCTTGCTGGTAGAAGATACCTACTGTAAAAGCACAGGCTGGAGGGTCATGGGATTTGTAAAGTGACCCACGTCCTGGTCCCTGCGCCTGTCCCCGAGTGAGGTTGAGTTGCCAGCCTTCATGCTCATAGCTGTACCCCAGCAAGAAGTGTTTGGGGGGCCCCATGGTGGTGCCTGGTGGTCATCGCAAGCCGAGTCATTTTGCATTGGCTGGGGATGGACTCCGCGGAAGGGCCAGGGTCGGTGCACTGATCGGAGGCCGCCACACCAAGGATACGCAGGACACACTCAGGCTGGGCGGGACGGGGCTGCCTGGACGTCAGGACATTTGTTCCTGCGGGAGACCAACACCAGGAATGAGCAGACACAGGGCCCAAGCCGGGATGTGGAAAGAGAGGTGTATATTCAGTGTCCCATCCTGGGTTCCCGAGATGCTGCAGACATCCCCGGCCTGCACGGGGTGACGGGGCCTGGGAACGTCAGCCTGGTGGCCCATGTTCAGGCCACCCCAGGCCCTGAGAGGAGCGGCTGCTGCCAGCACTGGAGGCTTTTGGGAGGGGACGGAGGGACGAGGGCTGGCCAGGCACAGGAAGGGCACTGTCCCCTTCCTCCCTGTCCGAGGGACACTCACCCCTGCTCTCTGCTCCTTTACAGGGTATCACTGGTCCTTCCGGCCCGATCGGGCCCCCTGGCCCCCCAGGCTTGCCGGTGTGTATCTGGGGAGGGGCTGGCTGGTGGGGGAGTCACAACTGACACTAACAGGATGGGCCCGGGTTGGTTTGGGCTGCAGGTCACAGTAGCGAGGAAGAGGATTGGAGGCCCTGGTTGGGTGGGGGAGGCCAGAGAGGCCCGTGAGACGCTTGTGGGCGCATGAGCAGGGTCACCACCTCTCGGCGCCCCAGACTAGGTCTTCCTTGTGTTCCGAGGACCCAGTATTCCAAGGGTGAGCCTGTACTCACCCCGACCCGTCTGTGCGTCCAATCTCAGGCCCACACGGCCCCAGGTGGCCCTGGGCTGCTGTCCTTGCTGGGGAGGGCGGCAGTCACACTAAGAGGGCCTGGGCAGAGGCTGGGGCACCGCTGGCTGACGCTCTGCTCTCTGCTCCTGCAGGGTCCGCCAGGTCCTAAAGGTGCTAAAGGCTCCTCGGTAAGTGATGCTGGCTGCAGCGGTGAGTAGGACGGCATCCCCTGGGACAAGGACACCCCAACCCGCCCTGAGTGTAGGGGTCCTGCCTGGCTCCTCCCGTCTTTCTCTCTCCTTCTTTCCTTTTATTATGCGATGCATTGTTGATGTTCTTTATTGTTAATGTTATATAGTTTTTGAAAAACAAAAATGATATTGTTCTGCTTGCTGGTTCTAAAAATTATTTTAGCTGTACAGATCTACGGGGAAAAGCAGAATAATTTGATTTGCATCTATAATGCATAATGGTCAAAGCAGGTAGTAAGCATTTCTATCTCCTTAGAAATGTTTTTTACATTTTTGATTAGCATGCAATGATTGTACGCACTTCTGGAGCTCGGGGCAATATTTTGGTACACGGATATGGTGTCTCCCGACAAATCTGAGCCATTGACGCTCCCCTCTGGTTACCGCTACCGTGTGCTGGTCATTCCTCACCTCCGGTTACCCAGCGCGTGCAGCAGGCAGCTGTGAACTCCAGTCCCTGTGCTGTGGACACGGGGACTTACCCTGCTGCCCAGCTTCGTGTGGCTCCTGTTGTCCAGCACCCCTGTCCCTCTTTCTACCCTGCCCAGCCTCTAGTAACCAGGGCCTCCTGCACATCCTGGTGGACTCTTTCTTAACGTAGACGCACGAGAGAACAGGCCCCGTTTGTCTTTCTGTGCCTGATTTTTTTTCACGCTACGCAGCTTCTTTCTGCTCCGCCCAGCTCCGTGCACATGGCCGGGCAGCGTCCTGCTTTGTGTGCTCAGCGTGTGGAGCCCGTTTTCTTCACCGCGCATGTTGATGGGAGTCCACGCAGCTCCATGTCCTAGCTGCTGGGCATAGCGGGCGAGTGGCTGACAAAGCCAAGCACTTTGTCAGATATCTATTTGCCTGTGAACTTCTCCAGAGAAGCGTCCCCCTCACTGCCCTGGCCACTCAGAGTGGGACGTCTGGGTTGCGGCTCCCTGTCCTCAATGATGCCACTTCTCAGTACCGCCCCCTCCGAGAGAAGAGGCCCTGCCACGCCCCTCCCCCGCCGGAGCGAGCTCCAGGCCCATTCTGGAGCCAGGGGGGTCACTGCCAGCACCTCTCAGCCCGTGGTGACCAGGCTCTGCTTCTCTCTCCCCAGGGTCCCACCGGCCCGAAGGGTGAGGCAGGCCAGCCAGGACTCCCCGGGCCTCCAGTGAGTAGCGTGGACTAAGAGGGATAGGTGGAAAGTCAAGGGGGCATCTGTCTGTGGGGCCCACTTTCCAGAAGTGGTCGGGCCCGTGCGGCCTGACCAGGAGGGCTGCCCCAGAGACACAGGGGGGAAAATGCGTCACCAGGCCTGTTTACCCCGGCCTCACGGCTGACCTGCCTGGGAAGCATGGTTGGGAGAGGGAGAGAACATATGCGCATGTGTGTACATGTGTGTGTACATGCAGGTGTGTGGATGTGCGTATGCATGCATGTGTGCTCATTTGTATATGCGTTTGCTTGTGTGTGTCAGTGTGCATGTGTGTACGTATGTATGTACTTGTGTGTTTGCCTGTGTGTACATGTGAATGTGCTCTCGTGTATACATGTGTGTGCCACACATGTGTGCATATGTGTATACATGTGTGTTGGGGTGGGAGCAGTAGCTGATGTCCCAGGGTGTGGGATGAAGCTTGTGGTGAGCTGGGGTGCAGTGAGTGCCCTCCAGGACACCCCTGTGGTCTTGCAACCTCTGGACCCATCCTTGTGGAGGTGGAGCCTTCCAGGAGGGAACCCACACTGCATCCGCGGCATTGGTGCGGCTCCACAGGGTTCAGCCCCAATGGAGCTGCAGAGTCCAGAAGGGTGCTCTGGTCTCCCCAAGGCTTGGCCTTTCATCCAGCTAAGGCCAGAAGAACAGACGAGGTGCAGGGAAGGCTCCCAGCTGTGACCTGTCCCACCCACCACTGCCCCTCCCATACCCAGGGCCCTCCGGGCGAGGTCATCCAGCCCCTGCCGATCCAGGCCTCTCGGACGCGGCGGAACATTGATGCCAGCCAGCTGCTGGATGACACAGCAGGTGAGAGCTACATGGACTACGCGGACGGCATGGAGGAGATCTTCGGCTCACTCAACTCACTGAAGCTGGAGATCGAGCAGATGAAGCGACCGCTGGGCACGCAGCAGAACCCTGCGCGCACCTGCAAGGACCTGCAGCTCTGCCACCCCGACTTCCCTGACGGTGAGGACCAGCAACCACCCGCACTGTGCCTGGGGCTGGCTGGGCAGCGCCACCTCCTCACCTCCACTGCCCCTGGGACAGAGGACACATGGGCTGTCTCCAGGACGCACGGAGGTGCCGCAGCGGGAGGTGACATGGTATGCACAGGCCGGGTAGAGGCCGGGCTTCGAGGCCGAGCAGACCTGGTCTCACTTAGCTGGACTGCCTGGATCACTGTCCCTGACCTGTAGATGGGGACAAGAACTTCGATGGGGAGGGCAGAGGCAAACTGACCCATGAGGCTCAGTGTCAGGATCATATTAGATGCTTTCAATGCTGGACCACCGGACATGCCACTCAGTCTGGCTGTCACAGACGGGCTGTCACGGTCCTCAGGCCGGACTCCTGTGGGACAAAACCACATTAGCTAGCTGGTCTTGCCCTGGGGTAGAGGTGTAGTCCTCCTGAGGCCTGGGGGATGTCGTGGTTCCTGTAGACTTGGACCCAGATATATGTGCTTCCAGAGTGTGTTCTGAGCGTCCTCTGCCTTTCCATCCCCACCCTGCCTTGGCCCCCAGGCCCCTACGCAGCTACTCCCTGCCATGGCTGCGTTTATGCGTCTGTCCCCACCCCTCACCCCTTGATGGGCCCTGCAGGGAGAGCCGAGTGCAGCGACACGAGCCCTGGCAAGGCCCCTCTCGTCTCCAGCCACGTGCATGTAAATGCCAGGCTGTGGTGTCACTGTGGCTCTGAGCCGTCCAGGCACGGCTTTCTGACCGGCCTCCTGCCTCTGTGCTGCAGGTGAATACTGGGTGGACCCCAACCAGGGCTGCTCCCGGGATTCCTTCAAAGTCTACTGCAACTTCACGGCCGGAGGGGCGACCTGCGTCTTCCCCGACAAGAAGTCCGAGGGGGTGAGTACCCTGGGGGCCTGGGCCTCCAGAGGGAGCTGGACCCAGCTCCTGTGTTCCACAGGTCCACAGCTTTAATTAAGGCTGGAAGCCGGGAACTGATCATCACCGTAAGAGCCTTCTCCGGAGCCTTCTCTGTTTAAGAGATGGGCTAGGGAGTTGTAGGAGCTGGCCCGGGTTGTGCGGGGGATGATGGCGGCCACTGCACGTTGTCACCACCACCCCACCGAGGTCTCCCAGCCCTGGGCTGACGCCTCCCGCTGGAGCTCAGCCGTTCTGGCCTTGGGCCGACCCAGAGCCTCCAGAAGGATAAGGAAGCGACCCAAAGGCATTTCCTGAAAGCTGCCGTGGGCCTGAATTCTTGGAGCAGTTTATACCCCAGGATTTGCTCAAGGCTCCTGAGCACCTCTTGTTGCCTCAAGCTTATGAACTTATGGAGTAAAGAATTTGGGGCGAGGAGCAGGGCTCTGATTCGCAGGGATCTTGTGCAGTGCACCGAAACACGGCAGGGGCCTTACCGGCCCCCGGGCCCCGGCGCTGTGCGGGGAGTCTGAGTGGTGGGACCGGGTGTGGGAGTGGTGTGCACATGGGTGTGCGTGTGGCAAGGTCAGAAACAAATTCGACGTGTCCCTGTGGATACCCGGGAAGGTGACCGAGACTCCAGCTGAAGTGTGCAGACGCCCCCTCACCCCAAACACACCTCACACGTGGCTGGTGGCCGTCACAGCCCTGGCTGTTTCTGGGAGTCACGCGGGCTCCTGCGTGTCCCTCCTGCCGCATGCAGCTAGCCTGTTGCCCAGGGAGCAGTTTCCTGCCAGAGAGCGAACGAGCAGCGCTGTCCTCCCAGGGGCCACAGTCCCCTTAGCCCCTAAATCACGCTGTGACCTGGGTAAGCGCCAGCTCCCCCTTGGGTTGGGCACCAGCTGGCAGCAGCAAGAACGGGAAGATTGTGGGCTCCGGACCCGTGCCCCGCCCAGCCCTGCAGTTGCTGTCCTGATGAGCTCTGTAGGCTTCAAGCCCAGGATCTTATCCTTTCCTGCCATCTCTCCAGAGGCCCTGCACAGAACTCAGCTGGCAAAGACATTTCCCCTCCCTCTGGGCACACTCTGTCCTCTGCAGGCGGTTACTCTCTGGCCACTCTGTCCTCTCAGGTGGCCTCCCATGAGAGGATTCTCGGGACAGCTACCCTAGCCCAGGGCTTTCCTGAGGAGCCATTGCTGGCATTCACTCTACTGAGCTGGGGATCTAAAGCGCACCCCTCCGGCTCCTTCCTGTCTTCCACCTGCATGGAACAGCTAGGTGCCTACGAGCTGGGCCGGGCCCTCTGTCCAGGGTGAATGGAAACTGCTCTCTCTGGTGGTGCTGGGCCGTGGGCCTTCTGGGAACTGGAGGAGTTTGAAGCAGGTGTCTTGGGTAAAGCGTACTTGTGCCGCTCCGTGGCCTAGGGGCTGGGCTGTCACCCTGACATGAGCACGGTACGGCTTTGAAGGTGGCAGATCTGGAGACAGGAGGGAGTGTAGAGGCTCTGGCAGGCGTGCAACTGGCTCCCCTCCCCCTGGTGGTCGCCTCTTCTGGCTGACTCAGCACCTGCCCTGCTCCGGGGAGATGGCCTGGCTCAGCAGATGAGGATTCAGACCTCTGCCTCCTGCCACGAGCCCCCGGGGCCTGGCTCCCAAGCAGAATCCCCCATAGGCCCTACCCAGGCCAGGCAGGGCCCAGCAGCCCCCACGGTTCTCACCCCACACCTGCAGTGTGTGCACAGGGCAGGGCAGGGCAGGGCCTTGCTCAGACACCGTTCTCTGTGTCCCTAGCATCCCTGAGCCCACGCAGCTGGCTGATTGTGAGCGGAACAAGCTCCAGGAGGGACCCAGGGGGACAGAGGCTGCCCCTGTGACAGAGCCAGCTGGTTCTATAATTGTAGCAGGCTTTGCTGCGGGGGTTGGTTCCTTATCATGGCAGAGCAGCCTTAGAGTCCTGCATAAGGACCTACCACACACGTGCGCCACACACATGCACACACCCACCCACACACCCACCCACCACCCACACACACACACACAAGGTGGGGGCCATGGGGCGCACCGTGCCCCTAGGGAGTGAAGACAGAAGAAGAGGAGCCACAGAGCCGGGCCCCCAGCAACGCTGGTGCTTGGCGTGTCACCTTCATCCCGAGTCCGCCTCTCCCCGCAGCACTGGCCCAGCTCCACCTGTGGCCCTGCTGTGACCCGGTCACCTGGCTTGGCTGTGAGAGGCCTGGAGCTGTTGTCACCCAGGACAGCCCTGGTCTTTGCGTCGGGGAGGCAGAGGCGCTGCGGCAGGACGCAGGGCGGGGGCCAAGGCCGAGGCCGGGCGTCGGGGTGGAGGCCGGGAAAGTAACCCTCTCCTTTCTGTTTCTCTCCCTCCCACCACGCCTGCGCCGTGTGCAGGCCAGGATCACTTCTTGGCCCAAAGAAAACCCGGGTTCCTGGTTCAGTGAATTCAAGCGTGGTAAACTGGTAAGGCGGCCCCTCCGTCCCCTGCGGTTGTCACTTTAAATGCGCTCGTCTCCTATCTTGCAGAGTAAAATGGCCCGCTGGCCCAAAGAGCGGCCCTCTACCTGGTATAGTCAGTACAAGCGCGGCTCCCTGGTAAGTGGCCGCCCCGCGCTGCCCGCTACGGCTCGGCCTGGCTCTCGGCTCTGCATGGCCCACTCGACACCAACGCTGGGCCACGCCTGCTCTTGTCCCTTCGGCCACACCGCTCCACGGCGCGTGACAGCAGGGCTCAGCCAGCGAGGTTTCTCCCGCAGCCCTGCGGCCGCTCTCGGGCCTGCAGGGGGTCCTCCACTGAGACTTAGGTGGCAGCGGGCCAGGGTACTGTGCTGCTCACCATGGCACAGCTGGCGGCTTGGGCACGGAGGTCCCAGGCAGCACAGGCAGGAGGCCGGCAGGGTCGGCAGGCAGCAGGGGCAGGTGCTTGTCTTAAAGAGCAAGTGTTCTCCAGGGACCTACCGTGCCTGCGCCCGGGTGCTGCTCAGGGCCCGGGCTGTGGCGCCAGCCCAGCTGCGTGGTCCTGTCATCTTCTGTGGCTGTGCAGACAGGACACCCCTCTAGCTGGCGCTGAGATGGAGCCATTCTGACCTCCTCCTGCTACCCTAGTGGCGGCGGCCGCTGATTGTTTACCTCCAGCGCCGCAGCGATTTGGGATTCTTCTGGGATAAACAGAGCTATGGTCTCCGCCCGGCGGAGACAGATTTCACGCTGGGGACAGTTCCAGGTCACCTGCTGAGCTCAGACTTTTCCCGTGTCTCCACCCCTGAGGGTTCTGTTTCACCAGGGGCCACTCTGAGTGCCATCGGCCCAAGGTCCTCCCTGCCCCCGCCTCTCTGGGTGGACGCAGAGACCAGGTCTCCCAAAGATTCAGAGCCGTGTCTCCCAGCTGCCTTTGCCTGGTCCCCGCGGCTGAAGTCCTCGTCCCTTAGCCTCGGGCCTTGCCCTCCTCAGCGCGGCTCCGCAGACAACCTAGCTCCTGCTCTCCTCGGCTGCCTCTCGGGAGCTTCCCTGCTGTCCCTTGCTGTGGACACAGGCATCCGTCTCCTCCTCCTCCCCCACTTCCGCCCCTTCACCTTGTCTGTGCTGTCCTTGGGACAGAGCCACTGGCACACAGAAGGACTGTGAAGGGGCAGCTCTCGGGACGACAAGGATAGGGGACTTCGGGCCTAAGGGGTCAGGCAGGAAGGAGCCATTGGGTGAAGCTGCCCCAGCCAGGGAGGTGGCAGGTCCTGGCTTGTCACTGGCCGCACCGTGTGGCCCTGCCTCCTCCCCATCGTGGTGACCTCCCTGACCCTAGCCAGGCTCCCCTACTCTGAGGAGTGAAATGGCACTGAGCGTCCAGTCACCAGCCCACATGGCCACCGCCACTGCCCTGGGTCCTGTTTCCCAGACAGGTCACAGAGGCAGAGGTGCAGGGTGGCCCAGGACGGCCCTGCCACGGTGCAGGGTGCAGGGCGCCCAGTCTGGCTCTCTGAACATCACAGTAGATGCCAGATTGACGGAGGCCCCTGCTAGGAGAACTCAGCCTTGGTCTGAGCTGGCTGCCAGGACCAGGCCACCATGGGGGGGAGGGCAGAGGCCCCTCCCAGGGGGCTTCCAGCCCAGGGCATGAGCTGGCCTGAGGTCCTTCTGTGTCCAGCCCCCTCCCTGCATGTGTCCTTTCCTGAGTCAGTCACCTTTCCCCCCAGGAACACCGATGGCCCGGATGTTGGTTGGTACTTGGTTTTCCTCTGCAGGTCTGACCGTAAGGTCCGCCGTCACTGCCTGTGAGGGTGTGGGGTTTGCTTGTACCTTCTGGTTGCAGGTTGTCCCACTGCACTGGTATTGAGTGGGCTTCCAGGCCCGCTCCCCTTCCTCCATCCCTCCCTCCGTGCTTTCTAATTTTGCTGATTGAAGTGTGGCTAAGGGTGGTCCCTGCCTTTCCATACCCACCCCCACACCAGCACTGGTCCGAGGGTCCCCTGCATGTCCCACACCACTTTCAGGGGCAAAAGGCAGTGTTGGGGCTACTGCCGCCCAGGGTGACACTTCTGGTGTTGGACGCTGAACTTTCTGCCTAGTCCCTGACACAAGGCCCTAGGCAGGATGGGGTCAGCTGGTCACCAGGCCTTCCTGGACAGGACCAAAGGCCCAGTTGTGTCCCTGCGGGATGCAGTGTTACAGAAACCATCACATTTGCAAAATCACCTGCACTCTGCACTGAGATCCAACCCCCCCCCCGTCATGATGCCCAATGCCAGCCTTGGCCTGGCAGAGCAGAGCAGCCCAGTGTTGGGGATACAGCTGGCAGCAGCTTGTCCTTCCCGATGCCACCAGTTTGTGGTAGAAATGGGGGCCTTCCAGCTAGGGCCATGGAGCCAAAGCCCAGGCTGCCCTTGCAGCACAGTAAGCGTCTTCAAGTGGACAGCTGCTTGCTCCCAGCTGGGAAGGGGAGCGGCCCTGCTAGATGCCCACCCAGGATGCCCCTATACCTCCCGCAGGGATGCCTGGGCAATGACCCCAGCTGTCCATGCAGTCCCAGCTTCCTGCCTATCACCCCAGGTGGCCCAGGTCACTCCCCAAAGCTGGCCAGGCCTCACAGAGCTTCCCATGCCTACATTAGCACCTTGGCTGGCATCGGGCACACGTGTCCACCCTGCCCTCACGGCAGTCCTGATTCAGCAGGGGTAGCACATGAGGCAGCAGGCACCCTGGAAGGAGGACCAGTGCGGTGTGGAGGGACGCAGGGAGGCTCAGGGTGCCGGTGGAGGAGGGGCGCACACAGCCTCCGGGCTGGGGGCAAGGAGCGGCGGCGTCCCCAAGAGCAGGGTCTGGCACAGAGGGGGCAGCTTGGGCAGCGCTGCTGCAGAGTGGGCAGCGTCCAGGCCCAGAGAAAAGCCCTGGGGGTTCCGGCCCAGAGCTGGTGGGGCTGCCAGGCAGGGAGGGCTGTGAACTCCTGGAGACCACAGAGAGCGTCCTCCTGCCCCCTCCCCTTTGGGTCACTCCCAGCCGCGTTCCTGGTGTCCAGACCCAGGGACGAGAGCCAGAGCCCCAGGAGGCCTGTCTCGGTGCAAAACCCACCCCAGGACGGTTGCCTGTGTGTCCCGCACGTTCCAAGCCCTCAGAGCTGGTGTGTGGGGAGGGGTGAGAGGGCTCATCTGAGGCTGGCAGAGGCCCAGGTGACAGAAGGGGAGGAGGTTGGCAGGCAGGGTGAAGGAGGAACAGCTGCGGGGCACCAGGGTGGCACAGGGCCAGGCCGCTCCGGCCGCTGCGCTCTGAGGCTGTGATTCATGCATCCAGCCGGCTCTTATCAAGCCGGCCGGCCACATCATGGGCCCCTGCCCTCTCCAGGCTGGGTGGGCAGTGGTGGCCCATGGCCCTCTGTCCCCAGGAGCCCCAGAGCCCTGTGTGCCACCTTGGGTTGGGTGAGGCCGTGTGCCCACCCTGCTGAGCCCGCCTTTGTCCCTCCCGCAGCTCTCTTACATGGACGCCGAAGGCAACCCAGTGGGCGTGGTACAGATGACCTTCCTGAGGCTGCTGAGTGCCTCTGCCCACCAGAACATCACCTACCACTGCTACCAGTCAGTGGCCTGGCAGGATGCCGCCACGGGCAGCTACGACAAGGCCATGCGCTTCCTGGGCTCCAATGATGAGGAGATGTCCTACGACAACAACCCCTACATCCGCGCCCTGACGGACGGCTGCGCGGTGAGTGCTCCTTGGCGCCGCCCAGCCGGGGTCTGCTCCTCACTTCTGGATCTTGGGCACGTCCCGTGTGCCTGGCCCTGTACCCCTGCATTGGCACCTCCCGTGCACACGCACATCCTTCCACCGGGGTGAGCTTAGACGCACCCCGACCTAGTCACGCAGGTGAGGGTCTGTCCTTGTGTCCTGGGAGATGTCTTGAGTGTGACTGTGACCAGTGCCCAGTCCTGTGCAGGTCCTCGGACGTGCCCCTGGTGTGGCCTGTTAGAAGCTGAGGCGGGGTCACCAGGAAGCCTAGCTGAGCACCTCACCGTCACCCCCGACACTGGGCCCCCTCCCTTCATTTCTCCCCTGAGAGAACCTGAACCATGCCCTCTGCACGGCCCAGGCTAACAGCCCACCCCCTTCCCCGTGCCCCTTGCCCAGCATCTGGGGCTGCGGGTCAGCCGCGGCCATCGCTTGGGGGCCTGTCCCTTGAGCGTGTAGGTGAGGGGCGCCATCGGTGGTCCCTCGTGGCTCCTGCTGGTTCCCAGTGTCCATGCTGCTGTAGACAGCCCCTGGGCATGGTCAGGCTGTCTCGAGGTGTGCTGTTCCCTCCCCGCCGAGGTCCTCTGAGCTTCGGGAAGCAGAGGCCAGGCACAGGGTTGGGACGTCCAGACTGGGTGCTGGCCAGGGCCGGGAGGGGAGGCTCCCTCCCATCTTTACTTCTGGGAGGAAAAGTTCCTGCCTTAGGGGAGGTGGAGGGATAACAGCTCAGGACAGCAGCCCTGCTGGTTGGAAAGCTCAGCCCTCGGGTGGCTGGGACCGGTTGGAAAGGACAGGCAGAGGGCATGCGGAGGTGGAGCTGGGGTGTCCGTGGCTCAGCAAGCGGCAACACAGCCTGGACCTGCAGGGCCACCGACCCCAAGCCCCTGGATGTCCCGCCTTACTTGGAAAGGTCACGACCTTGGGGCTTCCTTGGGGACTTGAAGGCCAGCGACAGGAGGCCTGTGCGATTCACATCGCGATAACAGATAGAGAATTTGGAGTTACCAGGCTGGCGTCCTTCGGCCAGAGAGCCTGATTGACAGCATTGCTGAGCGGCCGGCCCGAAGGGGCACAAATCAGCGGGCAAGAGGGCCGGGGCGGCCGCCACATAAATCCCGCTGTTTGCACAGCTTTGTGCGCCCCCAGGGGGCCATTGCAGGCTGGTAACAGTTATTTATTCTTCTGGAATAGCGGGGTAATGCAGCCACGGGCTGTGGCCTGCCTCAAATTTGCCCCTCTCTGAGCGCTCTGATAATTGGAGCGGAGGGGCCCTATAAATCCAGCGGGGCTACCTGCTGGCTCAGCACGAGCTGCCTGGTCCTGGATGGGCGGAGGCTGCTGCTGCGGCCACGCGGCCTGCGGCTCCTCATCCCAGGGTTGCATTCAGGGCACAGCTCTCTGGCCTGTTGCTGACATGACACAGCTCCCTGTGACTGCACCGTGGTCCGGGCCCAGCCAGGACCAGGCAGTGATCTCCTTTGGGACCCTGGTGGGACCATGGGAGGGAGCAGAGCCCACGGAGGCAGAGCCTGGATGGGAGCAGCGTGGTGTCTGGCTGTTCCTCACAGGCCCGGCGGTGGGCAGGGGCCCTGCTCCCCCGAGGCAGGTGCAGGATCCCTGGAGGATGCTGCATGCGGCACAGGCGTGGGCCAGTCGGTCCCCGCGTCCCTCCCCCTGGGCGTGGAGTGCTGCGGCCACGCATCGGGGTGGACCCAACAGGCACAGGGGCCCACGTAGGGTCTGTGTGGCCTACCCAGGGTGCTCCGCAGGGCTTGGGACCACCAGTGTTGTGCTGTCAGGGTACTGGGCCACCCAACAGCACCGTCCTCCCGACAGCCTTTCTCAAAGGACAGCCAGCCGACCACAAAGAGCAGTGTGGCTGGAGTTCCCTATCTTTTATTTATTTTTATTTTTTGGAGACAGGGTCTTGCTACATAGTTCAGGCTAGCTCTAAACTCACTGTGTAGCCTGGGCTGGCCTCGAACATGCAGCAATCCTCCTGCCTCAGCCTCGTGAGTGCTGGGATTAGAGGCATGTGCCATCCCCTCTTTTAAAACTGCAGGGTCTGCATCCCACCTCAGAACTCAGGAGCGAAGTCCCCTGGGTGGGTGAGGACTCCGGTCCTGTGAAGTCCTAACACCACTTTGTGCGCACCCCTCCAGGCCCAGCTGGAGCGTGGAGGGTGCTCTTACCAAGTGGGCCAGGGAAGTATGGTGGGAGGATGTGGAGGAGACAGAGCTGGACGTGCCCCCACAGGAGGCCCCGTCATAGCTGCACATCCTCACCCCTCTTCTCTGAGCTCCACTTGCTTAGGGGAAACTGAGGCACATGGCGTGCATTCCTTATCTGCTGTTTATAACAAATTAACCCAATCTTCAGCTGTTTAGAACAACAGGACTTGGCTCCCACACCCGGTGTAAGGGTCAGGAATATGGGTGCAGCAGAGCTGGGCAGTCCTGGCTCAGGGCCTTTGTGGTCCTCTCAGGCTCCATGACAAATGTCCACAGCCCAGGCTCCTGGCAGACCACAGACACCCGCTGTGCACAGCTCCACAGGTGGGAGGTTTGAGCACAGGTGCCAGCGGGGCCAGGTCCTGGTGACCGCCTCGTCCGGCTTGCAGACAGCTGACCGTCCTTGTGTCCTCATGTGGCAGAGAGAGGGTGAGGGGTCCCTCTGGGGCCACTTTGTAAGGGCACTCTGCACTCTGCCACCCCCGTGGGTCAGGGTCCCGGCATGTATTTAGGAACACTCTCAGCCCACGGTCTTGGGGACGGGCCCCCAGGGCTGTGATTCCTCCAGCCAGGAACTTGAACAGGGCATAGTCAGGACTGGCCTCACAGTCACGTGGGACCTTCTGCCAGCTGCACCCCAGCCACGGTGCCCATCGGGGGGAACCCTCATGACTCGCTCTTCCCTCGAGGACCTCTGCAGGGAGGGGTTGCTGGAGCCTCGTGCTCCTCGGACCCGGCTTAGAGTGTAAATCTGGTTTCAGTTCAAGGCCACAAAAGCTACAGTCCAGGACAGGTGGGCTGTGGGTGTCCCAAGGGAATGGTGTGGAATCAGGTACCGTTGTCTCGGGAAGGTGACCCAACGGCAGGGCTGGGTCAGCCTCGTTGATGCATGCCCCAAACACTTGGAGCTGAATTTGGGTGGCTTTGGAGACCAGAGCAATGGTGCCCCTCCCTCCCTCAGTCTGGGACATGAGAACCAAGAGGGAGGAGCCTCTCCGGAAGTCTGCCCATCCTAAGAGGGGCTGCATCCTGCTTCCTGGAGCCATGCTGGCCTCACTAAGGGTGTGCGCCAACTGCCAAGCAGGCCTGCCCAGGACTCCTTGGAGGGCCTGGCGTGTAGGCTGTCATCCTCCCTGTGCCTGGGAGGGGGCTCCTCCTCCTGCCCAGGGTCCCTGCCGAGTTCCCAGGGCAGGGGCAGGGACCCTGCACTTGGTTGCGACCACCTTGTAACTCTCCACTTTGGAACAGGGAGGCCCTTGTTTTGATATTCGCTCCTCAGCTGCCCTGCAGGGCACTGTCCCAGCTCTGGGACATAATACCCACGCCACCAGCTTTAGCGAGAGGTTCGTTTTGACTCATGCTGTAGAAGTTTCAGCCCCCGCAGGGCTGGCTGCACGGCACATGGCAGAAGAGCCTGGGTGGAGGAGCTGCTCCGGGCGTGGCAGACAGGAAGCAGAGGGGGGAAGGGAGGAGCCAGGAGGAGCTGCCCCCTACCAGGCCACGTCCTCTGTGACCACCTCCAGCCAGGCTCCGCCTCCTAATAGCAAGCCAGCCTTAGCGCTGTGGTGATCCAATCCCCTTTCAAAAGCCCCACCTATAGGCGCAAAAGGCTCCTGGTTGAGGTCTAGATATAAAGCATGACAGCTGCCCTGGTCCGGTGGCTTGGTGGGGTGAGGGTGTCTCCATAGGACAGAGAGCACGGGCCCTTCTGAGGCCGCTCCCCTGCCCCTCCGGGACTGAGCCGTGACTTTGGATGTCCGTGAGAGTTCAGGCACCCAGCCGGCTGTGTTTCCTCCAACACTTGCCAAGTGCATGTGGCCAAGGTGCCACCCATGTGGCCTGAGATGTCCAGGTGGGGCGGGGAGAGGAGGTAACACCAAGCCCCATTCTTGGAGCCCGAGCTGGTGGTGGCGGTGGCTGGCTACCCCCAAGCGGCCTGTGGCTCTTAACCACGTGCGCCTGTCTCCTCCCCAGACCAAGAAAGGCTATCAGAAGACGGTGCTGGAGATAGACACCCCCAAAGTGGAGCAGATACCCATCGTGGACATCATGTTCAACGACTTCGGCGAGGCATCACAGAAATTCGGATTTGAAGTGGGGCAGGCTTGCTTCATGGGCTAGGAGCCGCCGCCCGCAGCACCCTGGTCTCCCAGCAACCTCGTGACCTCAGCACGCCCCTTGTGAATGTCCCGTACACCATGTGCCGTCACCCCAGACAGCGAAGGTTTCTCGCACCCCTCCTGCTCGACTTCATCCGCGCCCTGTGCCCTGGCACTATGCCGTGCCGGACCCTGAGCACCTGGAAAGCAGACGGGGAGAGAGCCGTGTCCCCACTGGAGCCGAATCACATGACCTAGCTGCACACAGCCTCTCGGGCCACACCATGTTCCGTCTACACCGTGCGCCTTGGGGAGGGAGCCGGCCACCGCCCTGGCCCCTTGCTAGCTTTTCCGCCGATGGACCGCATCATGGACAGTTGGCAAGGGCGGGGGTGGGCGGCAGTATTTGGATATCACTTTCTTTTTTAATTCAACTTGAAGATGTGTATTTCCCCTGACCTTCAAAAAATGTGCCAAGGCCAGCCCTGCAAAGGTCGCCAAAGCCTCTGCTTTAACAACCCTCAACACGATCCATGTAGAGGCCAAATGTCGTTCTGCATGTGCCTTTCCGATGGATTAAAGGTGCTTATGTTTTTGTGAGTTTTAAGTAAATATTTGTATTGTATTGTTATAAATGTTAAGTGTGCCTGACTTTCAATCGTGCGTGGAAACTCAGTCTCAGGCCTGCCGGGAGACCGGGACGGTGGGGAGAAGCATCCTATCTGGGTGTGTCTTATCCTCTTTAGAAGTAAGAAGTCGCCCCACCCTGCCCCCCCCTCAAGAATATGCAACATATTGGAAATTTGCCCAGGTCAGCAAGAAGCGGTGCTGCCAGAGAAAAAGCAGGTGCCAGACCCCTTGTCCAGGCCAGTTTTTTCTTTTATTATTATTAGATCTGGACTTCTTTTTTTGCCTATGGGGAAGAAAAAGGAATCTGATACTCTGCTTTTTCTACTCACACTTAGGTTAAGACGCAGGCTTCAGTTCATTTTGATTGCTTCCTTTTTCCATTTTCCTTCCTGCAGAGCCCAGGCAGGGAACCACGTTTTCTGTAACTGATAATTAAGTGAAACTTGGTGCTGATTTTTTACACTTCTCTTCTGTGGTGCTACGTCTGAAGACCTTGGAGAAGGCAGCACTGGGGGCCCCCGGCCGTGCCTCCTCCTCCCGGCTTCCTGCGCCGGGGCATTGACTCCTCGAGCTGAGTCTTTGCCAGGGACTGCATAAGAGATGTCACCTCCCCTCCCGGCGGGCGCGGGAGCCACCGGGTGCTCATTCTTGGTGGAATCTGCTCCTGAGACCCATTGCCAGTCCTGGGTTCTGTGGACTTGACCTGAAAACACACACGCGTGCACAGTAAAGACTTCCTGCATCCGCCATGGTGTGACCTTCGCCGATTGTGTTCGTGGGACTGACTTCTGTCTGTTCCACAAACTGAGCTGAAGCCGTTCGGCTGCCCTGTGAGGTCTCAGCCGGAGACGGCCTTGCATGCAGATCAAGAAATGTGCAATGAACCCTGGGTGTCTCCGGGTCTGGCTGAGCGGGACTTCCTTCCCCCAGAAGCAACTGAGTTTCCAGCTGCAGATGCCCGGGCACTCGAGCTCAGGCTGGTACGGTCCCCACTGGGCCTCGCCCCTTGTCCTCGCTGTGCTGAGAGAGGGACCGCCCTTGTGGATAGTGCACCCCAGGCCAGCCAGCAGTCCGTGTACTGTGAAACGTGCCCTGCCACGCCCCTACCTTCACCACGGGGACGCAATGCTGGGAGTGGGCTGACCCCCATGGGGCGCAGCTCAGGAAACCACAGCACAGCACCCCCGGAGTAACACCACCACCGAGGCCGACTCCCCACGTCTCCCCGGAGAACAAGTCACTCTTGCCAAAGAAAAGCCTGGCCTGGGGACTCTCAAAGCCAGGACACCAGCGTGCACCGTGCTCCTCTCCTTGGGAGGAAAGCCATATCGGAGAACTGTTGTGCGATGCCCTGTGGATTTTGTCTAGGTCATGTGATTCTGTTTCACCTCGCCCCATCAGATTTGTCCTTTTATTTGTCATTTTCTGTGGGTCCCCTCAAAGTTGTTGTAATTCGTGATGAAGTCCAAAATGTGTCCTGTTCTCCCCCAGTCCATTTTAACTACGGTATATTGCAATAAAATCACTTCTTATAATTGCAGACTCTTTTCTGGTGTAATTTTATTTTTTTCTCCATATATATATATACACATATATTTGGGCAAATGTGGATGAAAAGGAAAAAGCACAAAACCCTTGATAAAGATTCTAGGCCACTGGGCCCTTTGAAATTCAGTGCCAAAGGACACATTGTTTGTATCCTAAACGTCCGAAGACGTGTCACACATTTGAAGTGTCACGCCCACGAAAGGGGTGTCTTAAGATATTTTACACCTGTGTAACAGAGGCTCATTGTAATCGTTTTTCAATAAATCGAGTTCGCTGTTTCCACCATAAGCGGATGTGGTTGGCTGTCTTCTTCAGCATGACCAGGCCCTTCCACTGCGTGAGGTCCACGAGTGACTACACGTTGTCCCGGGACACCATGCGCTCTTGTGGCGGTGGCATGCCAGCTGCCGCTGGAAGGGCCTGGCTACAGGTAGCTGAGTATCACCAGTTCTTAGATTTCAGACCTTGACAGATGCTGGGCTCGCGTCCCACCCTGGGCAGTTGTGCCCTGGGGAGATGTCTCCAAGTGACATCCTTCCTGCTGTATGGCAGGTCAGGGTCGGATGTCCGGGTCCCTGATGGCCAGCAGGGACGTGCGGGTACGGCTCGTCTCAGTCAATGAGCTTGTGCATAGTGACGCAAGCCACTTTCTGGCTGAATGAACGACTGCTTCCTGGGTCTCTCCATCTGACCTTTAAGCGGCCACTGCTGAGACCCTGCCGCTGTTCCCTGCCCCACAGTCCTGAGTCCAGGGGCCGCCTCCCGTGCTGGCTCTGCACAGAGGTTCTCTTACCTCGGGCCGTGGCAGGGGTGGTTGGGAGAGGCCGCCAGCAAGGATGGCTGCTGCTGCACTCCCTGACCTCCTCCTGGGGCTGAGAGTGACTGGCTCATCGTCTGCCCCGAGGCTGGCAGGGATCAGATGATAGCTGGGGAGTGGCAGACTCGGAGGGGATGCCTCCTTTCCAGAGCCAAGCCCTCTATAATTCGGGGCTGTCTGCGTGGGCAGCATTCCCAGTTCAACCTTGCTTGGGTACCCGGCCCACTCCGCCAAGGTCTGGGTGGGGTCCCGGGAACATGCACCTCTGGGTGCCGATCCCCGTGGGCCGCACTTTGAGAAGCACTGGTCCATTTTACCTGCCAGATCAATCCCATTTATCAGTGGCTTAAACAGAATGCATTCCCCTTAATCGTGCCACAGGTCACTGCGGGTTGAGAGGGGCTCACCCCAGGACCTGCTGGCCGTGCCCGTCCCGGGACGTGGCTGCTTGGTGCCACACTGGCGGGGTGGGCAGGAGCTGGGGCCTGTGTCAGGCTCAGGCTGTTTTGTGCCTCAGCCAGGAAACCATCATTTTCCAGCTGTGTCCCCGGAGTGAACACTTCGGCTAAAGCCACACACCCGTCCCGCACAGGAGCATCTGGCTTTTTTCCCTGTGTTGACAAATGGAAATCGCGTCGGTTTGGGAGAAGCCCGGTCTCCTGGCATATGTTAGGAGCCGACATGTTCACCAGCGTGAGGCTCTCACAACCCTGTGGGACTCCTCAGTTCTTTTTAAACGAGAAGTTACCAGGCTGAGAACTCCTTAAGGGTCAGGACTGCTTAAAAGGCTTCTCCAAACTGGGAGTCCCCGCCTCACGGTTGGCACTGTTTTTCTAGAATCTGGGAGCTCAAGACAGCACGTGCATATCGTCTTCTGGCTTCTAGAGGCCAGGAATCCGGGGACCTCTGGGCTGGTTCCCTGCTCCGGGTCCTTCTCAATGCTGCCGTCAAGGTGTGGCCAGGTTGTGGTCTCATCCAGAACGTCCACCCAGAAAGATCTGCTTTCAAGCTCGCTGACACAGCAGTGCCCGTTTTCAGGTTTTGGGGTTCTGGGGACTAGAGCAGAACCACCCTCCGTCCCTTGTCATATGGCCTCTCCAGCAGCCTGCCTGTCATCACAACCGTGAGAGGAAATCAGCTGGTAGGGCTGAAGCGCAGTTCTGTGACCTCACCATGGGGTGGCCTCCCAGCCACTTGGTTATGTTCTGTGGGTCCAAGTTACGATGTCCAGCCCACCTTCCAGGGCAGGGGCCACACACTGGCCAGCAGGACAGAAGGGAGCAGCCAGCCACCTGGCCGTGAGAAGGGTGTGTAGAGGACAGGTATGACGCTCACCCACCGTGGGCCCTGGGCATGTTCCGGAACCCTGCATGCACGGAGTGCAGGTGAGAAGACAGATGTTGCTACCCGGTCTCCTCATCCATCACAGACAGAGGAAGCCCCAGCAGGTGTGGAAGCAGTGTGTTCCCGTGGGAAGCACTTTGTCTCACGGCCTCAGCAAGTGCCACTCAACAGCCCTGTGTCCCCTGCAGTGTCACCCTGGGCCACTCACTGTGTTTCAGCCAAGAAGTTTCAAGATGCAGTGCCTTGCGCCTCCAGTGCCACTCAGGCAGCTGTCGCAAAGTACCCAGGACACCCAGAGGAAGGAGAAGGACATCCTGCCTGGGGCGACCTAAGTTACATCTCTAAGGAACAGACTCACAGCCAAGAAGACACAGAGGACCAGCGTGCCTGGGAGTCCCTGCTGAGAGACAGCCCTGCTGGGGTGGGGTGCAGGGCTGGAGGGAGCAGCTTTCTGGGCGGTGATCTTCAGTGGGCGGTGGGATCTTGAGGTGTGCAGGTGATGCTGCTGTTTGCATACCTTTCAGACGTGGTTACACTGTGAAGTCCGCCTGTCTGCCAGAGGCTCATTTGGAATGCTTGCCTGCAGGGGCCCTTCGCTGTCGAGGCTGGATCATGAGCTGATCCTGCAGCACGGGGAGGAAGGTGTGGGGAGGAGCTTGCCCGTGCCTGGGGAGGAGCCCATTTCCTACGGCTGGAGCCAAGGTGCTCAGGTGGGGGACTTGGGCTGTGTGCCATCCAGGAGCCCCCCAGCCATAGCAAATGCCTCCTGGTGTCCGCTGTGCAGGAGGAAGCCAACGTGCAGTGGGAGAAGGGCCCTCAGGTGCTCACTGGGCATTTCCGGAGCTGCTCTGCCTGCGAGGTGCCAGCGGGCCCTGGTGAGCGGCACAGGATCCCGTGGCTGGGCCTTGCAGCAGGCCCCATCCTCCTGCCTGTCCCCTTTGGCTCAACATGAGCTGTCCTCTGGAGCCAGATTCCTCCCTGCCAGGGTCTTCGCGGCCTAAAGCAGCCACACAGAGCTGGCTGGTGCAGCTGGCAAGCCGCCCAGCCAGGGAACAGCAGGTGCTGTGCCAGCTGCCACGTGCCCCGCTTCAGCTCTGCGTGGGCAGTGCCCAAGTCCCACCGCCTGCACCCCAGGCCAGGCAGCCTCACGAGCCCGCAGCTCTGACTCAGCTCCTTGCCCACCTGGCCTTCGTTGCAGGCGGGGAAACTGCCGAGAGCGGAGCTTGGCACAGCATGAGGCTGCTCCAGGGGGCGTGAGCTGTCATCAGCCTCTTCTGCGCGTGCCCGGGAGGCATGGGCCGGGCAGCAACCTAAGCAAGAGTCCAGCTTGGCTGTGCTAGCTCATGCGTGGCGTGGAAGGTGTGGCTTAGAGCTGCACCGGGCCTTGAGGACACGTGAGGAGGGCTGTGTCTCCTCACTTCCCGGGAAGCTGGGGCGTCTCAGGCACAGGGCCAGGAAGGGCCTGCTCAGAGCCGTGGTCTCCTGGGCTGTTAAGCAGATCCCGGAGCACTCTCCTGTCCTGAAACCCCTGAGTCAGGTCTGGAGTGCCCCGGAATCTGTATTTCTTCAAGTTCCCACGTGGTGTTACTGCTGCTTGGAACACGGGATTTGATCGGTTTCCAGATTTTTGCTCTAAACCCAGCCTGGTCATACTCAAAGTACAGTACCTTTGTTTATTTTTTTAGGTACTGTGGCACGGTGGCACCTCAGTTCATGAGCTTAATTCTTTGCATGATTCTGGTTGCAAACCGAATTGGACGAGAAGCAAGCTGAATCGATTTCAATGGTTAGGGTCAATGTCGGTCTTGTGAGGAAATCGGATTCGGGTCTTGTCCAGTTCGGTTTGTGACTAGAATCATGGACAGAATTAAGTTTGTGAACCGAGGTACCACTGTGTACGTTTGCGGTTCAGTGTCCACGTTCATCTTAGGGGCTGGGTACACACACACAACACACCTCAATTCTTTTTATTCTCTCCCCCTCCTCCTTCTGTCTCCTATCCCCTGCTTCCTATATCTATCTTTTATTCTGGTTTTCTGAAATTATGTATACTTTGTGTTTCTCATATAAAAGAGGTTATGCAATATCTAAGCACAATGCCTCTTGATTAGCCATTGGATTTTACACACAGGCAAAAACATCCTGCCTGGTTTCCTCCATGGTAACAAACCTCAGTAGAGATATTTGCTCCTCCCTTAGGCTTGGTGTCTTGTTACTTTTCTCTCATTGCTGAGACAAAATACCCAACACCCAGAGTGAAAGGGAGGAAAGGTTTATCTAGCTCACAGTTTGTAGAGGTTTCAATCCATAATTAGCTGGCTCCAAGGCAGGGAGCCTGGCAGGGGGGCATCACAGAGGAGAACCAGTTCATGGCAAGCCAAAGGCAGCAAAAGCAAGCGAGGAAGGGGGAAGGCAAGCCTCTTTCTGCCCCTTATATTCTACCCAGGCTACCAGGATTAGGGCGGTGCCAAACCAATCAGTGGACTGATGTAGTAATCACCCACCCTTAACCCTAACAGTGCACCGTGAATCAGTCACACACTCTAGATCCAGCCACCTCTGAAAAAGCCCCACCTATGACTGCATGAGGCTTTGCGGGGGACATCTACACACAAGCCATAGCACTTGGAATTTCATTAACATGAACATCTCTTGAATCAAGAGATGTTTTGTTCTTATCAGGACGGCAAGGTCCGGAGCCCGTGGTAGAAGCAGTTGTGGCGTCATTGTACTCTGCAGGTGCCCCCTATGCAGGTGGAAGCCAATGTGCATAAGAGAGAGCCTGTGGGGCCCCCAAAACCTGCTTGCAAAGCCTTCAGCATCGCTGCTTGGTTCCTCCTCTCAGCTCCATGGAGTCAGGCCCCCAAGTGAGAACAGCTGGGCGTGGCTGAGTACAAACACTGGTAGCTTCCCGTGTAGGGGGACAGTTGGAGTTCAAGCTTCCCCACTCTGGCTGGATCTGCCAAATGCCTTAAGCTTTGCAACAGAAAGCCAGGAACCCAGCCCTTAAGGAAAAGAACCATGTCCCAGGGCCGAAGCTTAGAGCTTAGGGTAGGACATGGAGCCACTCTAACAAAGCCTAAGCCCACGTGCCCACAGGTCAAAAGTGATCTGCCAGCCGCTGACT